GATTTAGGTGCTATTCTGAATTGCAATCTCTTTGTAGCATTCAGATACACTGCCTTCAGTTAATCTCAGACTAGTTCTCAGATGCAAAATCTTGGTCCCTTCTCAAGGGCAATGGTAAATTATGTGACACTTTTTCTTGATCCTGATACTGATCTGTTGAGTTTGAAGATGGTATTTCAAGGCATGGAGCTGGACTGTTGGAGCTGTTCAAGTTTAAGATATTAAATGTAATTAGAGATGATTTAAATTCTCTTGATGGATTAAAGTCATTTTTTTTTTTAGAATTTTTTGTTCTTTAATTCTTGTAATTCATTCTTTTTGAAAATATAATTTTGTTTTTTTTAAAAAGATGTGCAATGTATTAATTGTGTTAGTTTTTTATTGAACACGTGTATTATTGGTGTACATGTGAAAAATTTTATTGGAATATTATTTTCATGAATTATTTTTTTGCGACGAAAATAAAATCGTAGCGCAAAATTATAAGAACAATCTATTTCGCGACGATTTTTATACATTGCAAATGTATTTATTCAATTATTTTTTATATTTTTATTTATGTAAAAAATTATTTGTGACTCGTCGCAAAAAATTAATTAAATTATTATTTTTTATATTTTTATTTATGTAAAAAATTATTAGCAAAGATTTTTTTACGTCGCAAAAACTAAATTAAATTATTATTTTTTATATTTTTATATTTATGTAAAAAATTATTCGCAACGATTTTTTTACGTCACAAAAAATTAATTAAATTATTATTTTTTATTTTTTTACGTTGGTGGAATAGATTTTAGCGATGTCTTTTTTTTGTTGTAAAATATTTTTTTTTACGATGAAAATAAATTTGTGTCACAAAATACTTTAGGGTTAATCTCATTTTGTACCCCGAAAGATTGTTCGAATCTCAATTTACACCCTCAAAGATCAAAAATCTCAATTTACACCCGCAAAGATAGAAATTTATATCAATGTGTACCCCCAAAGATTAAAAATCTCAATTTGCACCCTCAAATATATAAATTTATATCAATGTGTACCCCAAAGATAAAAAATCTCAATTTGCACCCTCAAAGATAGAAATTTGTATCAATGTGCACCTAAAATTAAATTGATAAATTATACCTAAATCCCCTCATATTTGTCAGTTAATAATTTAGACCTCTTCACATTTAGAATATTACTCCTACATCTTATGACATTTGTGCACGTATAACATGTAACTCATTTCATTGATATCTATTAATATAACCGTTAAAAAATATAATTTTATTCTAATAAAAAATTATAATTTCATATTACCCTTTATTTTATAGGTTCAATATACTATAAAGTTCAAAATCTAGTTTACCATTTGAATGTCTAATAAAATATAAATATTTATATAATATTTTTCATATTACCTTTTATATAAATATCTACATTTTATTAGACATTCAAATGGTAAACTTGATTTTCAACTTTAGAGTATATCGAATCCACAAAATAAAAGGTAATATAAAATTATAATTTTATATTATGATAAAATCATATTTTTTAACGATTATATTAATATATATCAACGAAAAGTGGTTATGTGTTACACATGCAAAAACGTCATGAGATGTAAGGGGAATATTCTAAATGTGAAGGAGTTCAAATGATTAAGTGACAAACATGAGGGGATCAAGGTATAATTTATTAATTTAATTTTAGGTGCACATTGATACAAATTTCTATCTTTGAAGGTGCAAATTGAGATTTTTGAACTTTGGGGGTGCACATTGATACAAATTTCTATCTTTAAGGGTGTAAATTGAGATTTTTGATCTTTGAGGGTGCAAATTGAGATTCGAACAATCTTTCGGGGTACAAAATGAGATTAACTCAATACTTTATGCGACGAGGTTATTCTGACAAACACGCGACGAAAAAAAAAACATTGCAAAAAATAATTGACGACGATTTTTTTTTTAATTTAGTGACGAAAAAAATTGTCGCAAAATTTTTTTTTTTTGTTGTGGTGGAGCCATAAATTTTGTCCAATGGATGCAATTAAAACTATATAAATATTAAAATTATTAATGTTCACAAAAGTATAATTTCATTAATAGAACGTCAATTAAAGTAACCACTCATATACATGAGTGTTATACAAAAAAAACCAACAAAAAAAGTTCACTATAAATTTATTTATAACACCTAAAATTATTAATGTTCACCATAGCTTTAGCTATTCTATAGGGATTTCGTCAATACTTACTTTTTTTTTTTGATCCAATGCCAATGCTTACTTGGGTTGTGAATTTTGGTAAAAAAAAAAAGAGGTTCAAGCTTCTATTATATAATATTTTCATACTCAAAATGGTCCACGTGCAAAGCACGTGTGCACCAGCTAATTGATCAAAATGGAATAATGTAAGATGATGGAGGTTCAACTATGGTTATCGAAAAATAATTTTTCGAGAACACAATTTTTTTTCCTCCAATGAGAACTTGACATGTGTAATGATTGTGTTTTTTATTACTTTATTTTAGTTTATCATTTTCACAATCAAATGGTCAAGAAAAAAACAAAGACTAAATGCCTTAAATCATTTGGAAATATGGTACAAAAAAACTTTATGCATAGGCGGGGTGTAAAGGCCAATGCTACAATACAATGAATCGGCTTTAGTTAAAAACTTCACATGTTGCTTTAATGCTTAGAATTTCCTTGTCTTCTTGAGAAACCTACTCGTACTTCCTACCTGCAAAACAAGATTTCCACAAATGTATGATTGTCTGTGTATGAGAGAGAGAGAGAGAAAAAAGGGTAGAGGTTACGTCAAAATCTGTAAGGAATGCTGATAATTATTTATTTATATATATCAGTCGCCATGTGATACGTGGTCCAAAATCCACTATGTTATAAACGTGCGGTTCTGTAATTGTAACAATGGTGGACTCCATAGCGATTGATCGAGTCCAGACAATGTTGTACGGAGAAAATGTTAGAAAGTTTTCTCTCTCAATGAAAGAGACTTTCTAACCAAAACATTCTTGTCCTCTTAACTTGACACAAGTTAAAAAATTTTAACCAAACCAGACAATAGGTATGTTAGAACATAAATATATTTAAATATTACATTCTTAACTTTAATTAGTTACTTTTATAAATTCACTTTAAACACACTATTTCACCCAATTTTTATTAACTTTCAATAATTTATGGAAAATACAACATATATATATATATATATAGAGAGAGAGAGAGAGAGATATTAAAATAGAGGTAAAGAGATAATTTAGAGAGGCTGAATGATTCTCTACATTTGGAAAGCCATTCAGATGAAATGGGAAATAGAGAATGCAACAGAGAATGCGTTGGAGAGTAGCTTTTGTGTTTGACTAACTAAAAGAGAGAGAAAATGGAAAGTGAGCAACAGAGAATGTGTTGGAGAGTAGCTTTTGTGTTTGACTAACTAAAAGAGAGAAAATGGAAAGTGAGCAACAGAGAATGTGTTGGAGAGTATCTTTTGTGTTTGACTAACTAAAAGAGGGAAAATGGAAAGTGAGCAACAGAGAATGTGTTGGAGAGTATCTTTTGTGTTTGACTAACTAAAAGAGAGAAAATGGAAAGTGAGTTGAAGATGCTCTTATATGACAAAGTTGGAGATGCTCTTATATGACAAATACTACACAATTGAAACAAACGTAAACTATGACTATTTTATTAAACTAAACTTTGTTATAGGAATTATTTAACCAATCACAATAAAACTATTCAAAATACCAAATCAAAATAATTTAATTTAACACAAAATGGAGGCATTTAGCCTATTAAAGGAATTTTTTTGACATTTATAAGTGACCCATATATTTGTCAAAATATCATAATTACCTATAAATCTTTTAAAAAAAATTCAATGGAGGCAAATCTTTAATAAATTTTAAAATTTTTAAAATTATGCTTGCTCTCAAAAAAATTTTAAAATTTCAGTGGAGGCAGTTGTCCTCAACGTGGATCCGCCACTGCTTGTAGGTAGTACTCTGAAACTAAAGAGAATTTTTTTGATATCTTATTGAAAATACTTATTAATTGTTAATTTCATCATGATGTGATGTGCTTGTACCATATCTATATAATAAAATAAAAGAATTTCACAATGTTAACACTTTTATTAGATGAAAAAAAAATAATCAAATTCTAGCTCTAAATTTGACCTGAAAAACAAATAGCATCTATAATATAAAATATGATAGAATTCTATAAGTTCATCTTATGGTCTCAAATAGATTCATCCAACATCCTTCTCAAAATCATTTATATTGTACTGTACGTTCTAACACAAATTACTCCCGACTAAATTATAAAATGAGTGCATTATGATTTGAGGATGACGTGCAATGTATATCTGGTAGAGATTTTTGGAGCGGTTTGAAGCTTTGTCTTTAGCTGTTAAAACAAAAATGTTTCCATGCTTTGGAAATACGTATAATGTGCTACCTTCTTCTAAAAAACATTCCTATATTTTTCGTTGTTGTAGGTTTGGGTGTATCTATTGTGGCATTGATCGTCAAGAGTTTGAGTCACAAAAATAACTTCTATAAGTGCAAGGATAAGTTTATACATATACATTTAATCCATCCAAAACAGCTGGATCGTTTGAGCTACCTGTTTTTTAAGTGGAGGGAGCACAATGATTAAAGACGGTCCAGGAATTGTTGAGGAAATATATCACATTGGGATTTGGGGGCTTGTTTGGTTAAGTTTGTGGATACCGAAATATTGCATTTGGTAACATTTTCTGTGTGTTTTATTTTTAAAAAAATAATAAAATCAAAAACAGATTTTTTTTTAGTAAAAAGTTAAAACAAAAAATATGTTTGGTTTTAGATTCTGTTTTAAAAAAAATATGAAAAGTAAAACAAAAAACATGTTTGATAAGTTATGATATATTTAATAGTTTAATATTAATTATTTGATAAAAAAATAAATCAAAATTAATTCATCAAATATTGGAATCACACAAGTAATTAAACACACTAACAAATCTCATTGTTTAACATATCTCAAACAACCAATTACATACATAGCATTGGAAGTCATTATTATCACACTTAACTAAAATTCTAATTATTAAGAATAATAAAGCACAATCACAATCACAATCACAATATGAAGTTGAAACTACAATAAGTGAGCATGACAATGACAATAGTGATCCATTTCTTCTCTCTATCACGACCAAAACACGCATGTATGTAAATGAGTCTGTGTCTACACTGGCAGAGCGGGCCAATATGTATCATTTTCACTACACTCCTGTTTCAGTATCATTATGATCAGCAAACAATTAGACATAATGTGCATAAGAAATTAGACCAATTAATTAACAAACAATATAACAGGTAAAATCCCAACTTAATTTATTTGCCCGTTATCCAATGATAATGCAAAAACTTTAGAGGGCATACAAGTCTATGAGTGAAGTAATAGTAAGCTTATTGCTTAAACAAAATGACATAAGCTATGCTATTAATTCTTGAAATATGTCGAGATCATAACAAAAATGATACTTGCAATAAGAAGAATTGTGTAGGTAGCTCCAACTTAAGATGTTAAATAGTTTTCTCATAAGATCACGGTTGGATAACTCATTTTGGTTAAATTACTAGTTAATGAAATCAAATAATGACAAAAAAAACAAAAAAAATCCTCATTTTGTACTTAGGTTATTCGGCTTACTTCAAGCTTGTTAGGTTTTACCTAGATAGATCAATTAAATCAATCATATTTTATTACTACTCATCTTCTCCCCCTCATCACACTAGCCTTTATCATATGCATTTCCTCATCTCTTTCAAAGCAAACCCAGTTTTGGGTTCGTGTACCGAGAGAAACAGTGTCACAACGACCAATTAAAACCGATAGATTCAGATCTGCTTTGTCTATTTGAAGTTCAGATACCCTTCTTCGGGTACACAAAGGGACGGACGGGTGAGAGAGAACTCTGAGAAGATTGAAAGAAAACCCTTTTTTATAGTTCCACGAAAAAACCCTCATTTTTTGTGTGCTAATGAGATTCAAAGGCTGGATGGATCTCATTAAAACCCCCACCCACCCTGCGCCTTTGTTTGCATTTTTTGGTATTTTTTCAAAACATCTTGTTTTTTGTTTTGTTTACAGAGTTGGGTCTTGTTTTCAAAACCAATTGGCTGAAAAATAATATAAAAACACAACCCTAACACGTTGTCGTGTATTTTATCTTTTTGGCAAAAACTGAAAACAAAAATTAAAAAACAAAACGGTTGCCATAAGCAAATTCTGCAGCAGAGCTCTTACCGAAGCGAAACAGAAAGGGATTATTCTTTGTGGCATGAAGCTCGGTCTGCAATGCTTGGGTTCAACGTGGCCATTGCAGAAAACTCGGCATCATTTTCCAGTATTTCCATTACCTTTTCGTGTAACATCATCCATGCTTCTATTCCCTGCCCGCAGCTGGTTTCCATCAAGATGACATTTCTAATATAATAAGCGTTGGAATCGCCCCCAATATTACTCACCCAAATCGGCTTTCCCCACCCAAAATCCACTTCATTGTAACCCAACTTGCACCAGTTAGTGAACGCATACATCTCCGGTTTGGCGTTGGGATATATTTCTTCTGGCTCTTCTCTGGATTTGGTTATCACCCGAAACTTCTCTCCATCTTGTAGGCTTAACACGAAATTATTGTCGATTTTTTCTATTTCTGCTCTGATTCGACCCACCAAACCTTGCAGCTCTGTTTCTTCTGCTGGATAGGGCACCACTACCCCCCAGGCACAATTTCCGATGGGATTTTTTGACAGTGGTAGCACCGTACGTGGACGCATGTTCGCTGGAAAGCTCATTATTGATGGTTGTAGTTTATGGGAACCAAAGGCCGCTCTTGAAGCAGCCAAAGCCGATTTCCAAACAAAGGCAGAGACCGCTTCAAAACGAGACGGTTCTGGCACAATTTGGCTTGCCGCCTTGCCTTTCAGGACAGATATTGCTGCAGCATCAAACACAAATCTCCTGCGAACGCCTCTTCCTAGGGACAACCATCTGTTGTCGATCAGAAAAGCATTACTCTTCTGTGATTCCATAGGAGGGAAGAGCTTTGATGTGACCGAGAAATCTGGACTTATGAGTTCTTCATCATACGAATAGGATCCTCTCGCAATGGAAGACCAGCATTTAAGGAAAGCACTCCAGGAGGTCCCATCCGCGACTAAGTGAAACGAACAAAATCCTATTACAATTCCACCTGATTCAAATATATTGAGTTGAACAGCTACTTGAGGTACAGCATCCAGTGGAACTGTGGGCACTAATGAGCACGGAAGAAACTGGCTCAGTAAGTCAGTTTTCGGATCTCTAAGGACCTCAAGCAAGTCACAATTAACCCGAGCTTCCGAAAACATAACCCCTTCATCATTACAATCCACAGAGGCATCTTCGTTTTTGATCCTTCCGGCAAGTGGGTGGAATCGTGATAACGTTTCGGAGAGAGAATCTTTGAGCCGAGCTGAAATTTGTTTGACATTGAGATGGTCTTCACTTACGGGGTAGTAGAATATAATTGGGAGATAGACCTTTGGAGAAATCTGGTCGAAACGAGACATTTTGTAGGTTCTTAGATGAGTTGGGGTTGGAGAAGATGGCCTAATGGTTTCTGTGGATATGATCTCAACTTTCATTTTCTCCATTTTTGAGCGAAAGAAAACGTTGGTGAAGATGACCTGTGGTGTCTCAATACTATACTACTATTTATGTCAAAGTTGAAGAAGGACTGACACGGGCAATGAAGGGATGGGCAATAATAAATAGTAAGAGTTTCAATGCGGAAATTCCTAAAAAAAACAAAAAGGTTTTCAACTGTTTTTAGGTGGATGGTTGTTGAGTGGATGAGATGAGCCAGTGGTAAAAAAAATTTGGAGTGGCTGTGCACACTCCATACTATGTTCGATTGGGAAAATATTTTTAATTATATTTAAATTTTAAAATAATGTAGGTGTAATATTTTAAATGTGAGAAATTTAGGTGATTAAGTGACAAGCATGAAGCATCTAGTTATAATTAATTCATTCAATTTTAAACGGCAAATTGACGGTTGTTATTTTGAAGTGTATATTAATAAAAAATTTTATTTTTAAGAATACAAATTAAAATTTTTAATATTTAAATATATAAATTAAAATTTGAACAAACTTTCGAAATGAAATCGGAGATTAATCCATTTTTTAAGGATATCACCTAACCAAAAACCATGTTGTCGTTTTGGGTTATGCAAGAAAATAATTTCAACTAACTTTCCAATGTGCCCAACAAACAAAAAAGGGTTGATGAGTGGATGACCAAATCCAAATTACCCTTATCCAATCTACCTCCATACTTACCCTTATCCAAACTCCCTCTGACCAAATCAAAATTAATTGTCTCAACACATCTATCAACTTATCAAATAAGGAAACTAATAAAATATTGAATTCACACAACTCATTAAACATACCAATATAACTCATTGTTCAACATACAACCGACAACATTCTACTGGAAGTCATTATTCTCACTTAACTAAAATCCCAACAATTAATACAAATATTAAGAATAGTAAAGCACAATACAATATGAAGTTGAAAGCACAATAAGTGAACATGACAACAGTGATCCATTTTCTCTCTCCCTATCGCGACCAAAACAAGCATGTTGCATGTTGAAATTTGACTTAAACTCTCTAATTATCATGAATGAGAGTTTATTAGATAATCAATGTGAGAATCATATATGAAATAGAATTATATTTGAAGAGTTTTAATATACCATAAATAAGTACGTTAGACATGTGATAGAAAAAATAAATATCAAGTTGTATTTAAATAGGTTTGAGTTACAGTATTTTATCCCTATAAATAGAGTTGAGTATTATGTAATCAGTTACCAAATGACCAGATTTCAGTGAATAATATATCGATGTAGATTCTTGTCATGGATGTAGGTACGTTGTATCGAACCACATTATATTTTTGTATCATATTTTTATTATTTGTCTATATTTGAATTCTTATTTTTCAACAAGTATTATTTATGTTAATTATCCGCTGTGCAAAATCAACAAGTGGTATCAGAGTTATGTTCCAATATTACTGAGTCCACACAAATAGGGAGGACCAATTTGTGTCATTTTCACTACTCTAACTTCAATATCATTATTAGCAAACAATTAGACCAATATCTTTTCAATTTAATTAACTACAAAGGTAACATATAAAATCCCAACTTTATGTGCCCTCTCTATATCCAATGATAATGCAAAAACATTAGAAGGCATACAGTCTATGAGTTAAACATGTTCGGTACTCGTAGTAATATTGGCTTTGAAAAGCAACTGGAAGTCCCATTTTGGCTACATTGACAAAAGACTAATCCATCCATGACATTCTCATGGAGTAGGCTTGAGTTAAATATGTGTGAAACACTCATAAAATATCCAACAAATGTATGATTCTAATCAAATGTACAACCAAATTTGATCCTCACAAACTATTATACAAATTTTTATTATCCAATGATAATGCAAAAATTTTGTAAAAAAATCCACTCGTAAATAGAAAGACTTGAATACATTTTTAATATATAACAGTTTTTCAAAACTCATAATAAATCATATCCATAACTCTCGATTTCTTTTTCTTTTCCATCCCCTTATTTCTTTTTTCTTTAGGGAAATGTTTCAAATTTTTTGGTAGGGATGTGTTTCTCCATAACTCTAGGGATATATATATATATATATATATATATATATATATATATATATATATATATAAGAATTCTAATATGATAAAAATTTAAGGAGTTTTACAAAAAAAAAAATAATATTATGAAATAACACTATGAAACTTTATTTCTATTATTCTTATACTGTATTGATATACTTTAAATTTGTGTAACTCTTAAGCTCTAATTTTTATTACTCCTACAATGTTCTATTACACTATATTGATACATTTTAATGCTCTGTTTGGTACGATGGAAAAGTGGAAAAATGGAAAGTTGGAAGGATGAAAATTTGGAGAGATAAATAAAACATCATGTTTGGTAAAGAAGGAAAATAGGAAGGATGAAAAAATGGATGGATTAACTTTCTTTTCAATTCACCAAAATTCAATCCCTCCAAAATTGGAAGGAAAGTGGATGAAAAGTTAATTATTTGTGTATATATCTGTTTATATTTACATATATTATGTATTCATTAATTTCATATAAAAATACAATGGTAAAATATGTATATATATATTTTTAAAAAATAAAAAATAAATAAAATTAAAATAAAGAAATTAAAATTAAAATTAAAAAAAATATTTTTTTCCGATGAAAATTTTCGACTCAACATGATGACACGATTCAAACTCAATACGAAAATAAACAAGTCAACTCGCAACTCGACACGACACAATTAGATAAATGAGTTAAATTATGTTTAACTAATATTCGACACAAACTCGTAATGACTCAGCACGAATTTGACACGACACGATTCGATTTGTTACCCCTAATTTTAGCCAACAAAAAAAAATGTATTTTTATTTTCTATCCATCCAACCAAACACAAAGGAAAAAAAAATGTATCATTCTTACTTTCCATTCTTGAAGGATAGAAAGTGTATTCCTCTTACTTTCCATCCTCCCTACCAAACGGAGCATAAAGTTTTGTAAATATATCATAATCATGTAATTCTTGAATTTTTTTTCTATTGGTGATTATAGTTGATTTTTTGTTTGGTTAAATCACATATATTTGATATTATAATCGTTAATATACAAAAATTAGATATTTAATTTCATAAATTCTTTATTGTCACACTGCATTGATACACTTTTAAATCATAACTTCACATGAATTCAAATTATAAAGTAAATTTATGTACCATGTAATTATAAATTGAACAAATTCATAACATCTGTTACTAAACCACCACGAAAATAACATATAGAAGAAGAAGAAAGTACAATTTAAAATAAACAACAATCATTATTGTAGTGTTTAATGTTCAAAAACAAAACTGTAAAGAAAAAAACATTTATAAAACACAAAAATATTAAAATTAACAAACAATCATTTAAAATAATAAAAGTTGACCAAAAAAATGACCACTCAATACAATAATTAGAAACAAATACAAAAACTGTGAAAACAATAAAACAAATTGAAATTAACTAGCAGTATGTGAAACGAAAAAAAATAAAAAAATGAAAGTATAAATTCAACCCAATAATATATGAACGTTATAAAAGAAATAATCAAATATGTTTAAATTTTTTGTGTTCGTCGGAGAATAATATGTAATGTTATCAGAACCGAATCAACCATCGAACTGCTAGAGGGACTAGATCAATGATTCACTAGTTCAACTGTTGAGTCAACTAGTTGGATCGGTTATATAATAAAAAAATTAAAAATATTATAGAACAAAATATTTTGATTAAATATGTCTAGAGAAAACTAGAAACCCATGTTCTAAATACCAAATTCATATCAAAGATAAATGCTGCATTTCACACAAGATAAGGACAAACTTTGAACAAACTTTCTTTCTTTCTATCTTTCTTTTTTTCTTTTTGAATCAAACTTTTGAACAATTAGATAACACATATTTGAACAATTGTAAAAATTAAAGCCACCACCATAACTAAAGAGAATGGAAGAGATTGAGTGAGAGAGATGACAAAGATCGACTAAGTGAGAGAGATTGAATGGAGAAGGTCCAGATCTACAAGGAATCAAAATCGAGTAGAGAGTTGTAGTTGTTCGCCGAAGCTGTTGTTATTCGTCGCCACACCTAGAGTCGTTCATCACTGGGAAGAGTGAAGACGAAGTTGAAATAGAATTAATTTAAGGCAAAACGGCCCAAAAATAGGAGAAAATATTTATTATAACGGTGGTACCACGTGGTAAGGTAATGTGGTATCACCAATTAATAATATTAAAACAAATAAGCAGATGAACCCCACAAAAATCAATAACTAATCTGTTATGTAAAAAAATAATTTTACACCCTTTTGCCAAGTAAGTCCAAGTGGAGTTCATCTTTTCCATTCAGAGCCTTATTATTGGCTGATGATGTCATGTCAGCAATGGTGACATGATATCACCGTTATATTCAATATTTACTCAAAATGGATTTTTTTTCATATAAGGAGTAGAATTCAAATTGCTCAGTTATAAAAAATCGTCCGGTTCATGGTTTTGGCCAAAAATTGGCGATTTTGCGGTTTTGAACCGGTTTTATTTCTTAAGCAGTCTAACTAGAGAACCAGATCGGTTAAGATCCCGGGTCACGGTTGAACTAGTCCAATCAATTGGTCCAGTGCAGTTCTGATAACATTGCTAATAAGGATGATATGTTTAAACTTTTTTGAACGTTAATTAATAATAATTTAGAGAAAGAGAAGAGAGATGTTTATAGATAACAATAATGAAAAAAAAATTAAATTCAAAATAAAATAGATATAGACAATCAATGTTATATGCAAAAACTTGTGATAATATAATTTTTTCATTATATTAAAAAAAATTTAAGACAATAAAACATAATTAAAAATTTAATTAATTGTCAAAAGAAATATACATGATTTAATGGAGGATAAATATGTTAAAAGAAAATCACAAAAAATTAAATTATGTATTTTTTGACAAATAAACCTAATTTCAACATTCTTTAGCTAACGGATTACTCCACCCAAATCACACCCTTTTTATGCAAAAAAGATATTTATATTGCCCCTAGTCACCTACCGCCTCTCTCACTCTTTCCCATAGTCTCCTTTCACACGCCCAAATTTTGTTTTTATCCAACCTAAAACCATTTTGCCGTTTTGGATTACGCAAAGGTTGTCGTTTTGACCAAACAGCGTTAACAAAAAAAAAAAAAAAACAAAAACAAAAGAGTTTTCACCTAACTTTCCAACGTAGAAAAAAAAAAAAAAAGTTTTCAACTGTTTTTGGTTGGACTGATGGTTGATGAGATGGGCCGACAGTTAAAAAAAACATTAATATTATACTGATCAAATTTTTAGATTAAATCAAGAATTTAAATGACATGACAACTTACTTGAATTTTTTTATTTGGTGTTATGTTATTTGGACCCTAATAAAAACTCTAAATAATATGTTATCATATCATTTAGGGCTCTTAATTTGGTCCAAAAATTTCATTACTATGAAAAAAAAAAAAAAAATTGGAATGACCATGCGCACTCCATACTTACCCTTATCCAATCTACTTCTGAACAAATCATAATTGATTATCCCAACACATGCCCCAGTCCCATCAAACAAGACATGCAATAAAATATTGAAATTATTACGCAAGTCATTAAGAACAATAAAATAATAAAGATGAAGAGACTCATTAACTCTATAATAAAGTCTAAGATTAACTATAAAATTAACTCTCTAAATTTATTTTTCTCCCCAATTGAATTTTATCTCGCAATATATCATCTCTCTTATTAACTATTATCTCATATTTCCAGGATTCAAATCCTGCTATCTTGCGCGTCTCTCGTAGGCCTTGGTAACAGGAGGACGGTGCAGTTTGACATTTTTCAGCCCATAGACTATCCGTGGGCCAGGCCTCTCGGCTTTGACTAGTCAACGAGACGGGCCGCCCATTAAGAATTTTTAAGGCTCATGGGTCGACTTATTAGGCCGAAACGGGCTAAATATGGGTCAGGGAGTCCATTGGGCTTAAAATGGATTTTTTATTAAAAACTATTTTTTATGTAAAAAAAAATCAAAAAAATTATTTTTTGTATGAAAATACAAAAAGGCATCAATTACATTAAGTTGGTAATAAAAAATAAATTAAAAAAAAATTAGTTATATTGATTAAATTTAACAAATATTCATATAGAGTTACAATGTTATTATTTTACATCACTACAAATTTAATACATCTCAATTAGGTTGGCTCTTACACAATTATCAATTATTTTCAAGTCTCAACCTCATAAAAGTTATAAATCAAATATTAAATAAATAATAGAATTATGAAATATACTCTAATTATCTTATTGGGCTAACGGGCTTCTTAACGGGCCAGTCCACCAGGCCTCTAGCCATAAAAAACACGGCCCAAGCCCTGCCACGTGTACAGGCCGGACTGCCAATTAGTCCTTTGGGCTTTCAGGCTGTGGGCAGCCTATTTTTGAACAATATGGGCAGCCCATTGGCCTTTGGGCTTTGTGGTGAATCAGCCCTCTCTCTCTCTTTTTGTGTTTCACACTGTGTCCTCACTCTCACCGTTTCACACATCTTCTCTTCCAGCAAAGACGCCACCGGCTGCCATCAGCAATCGCTCCTCCCCTCGCCACAGGCTGCCACCAGGTTTATCTTCCTCCCTCTCTGTAAATGTGTGTGTGTGTGTGTGTGTGTGTGTCTCTCTCTCTCTCTCTAAATCCAGAAACGCCAGTCCCCCAACCAAACCCATCCCCACCCGGAAACACCCTTCCGAAAAACCACTCCTCCCCTGTAAAACCTCCCCCAAACGAATTTCCGAAACCTCACAAAATCTTCCTCTCTGTTGTTTAATTCTCTGATTTATTACTTTGTTACTTTTCAAGTAGTTAGTTATTTTTTGGTACACATGAGAGGATATTTATAACAGCTTACGCAATCAATTGCCACGTGGTTTCTTTGATTGGAAGGTTGGTGTGAAATGGTTTGGGTCAATTTGCTCTTATTTCTTTCAATTTTCAATCGTACTTGTGTGTTTCATTGTTGCCGTGATTAAATACACGAAATTTATGTCATGGCCTTTAAGAAATTTGCATCAGGGCCTTTCACCAACAGTGGTTGCTTTATGAAATTCTTGGCATGAAATTGAGTTTTCTTTCTTAGTAGACCATAATATTTTTAACTGGGTTGTTGATTGGGTTCTACTGGGTGGAATCAGTTTTGGAATTTTCACATTCAAAATTGAATTTTAGTTTTGATTTTTTATTTTGAATTGGGCGGGCTTAAAGTGTGTTTTACAACCAAGCTCTTACATTGAAAACAATAAGTTCAAACCACACTTCTATACAAACAATGATAAATTGAAATATAAGTTAAAAACAACTCCAAGATGGTATTTTCTCATTAAGAAAAGTTGAATATAAGATATCTAGATACTTTTGAAAGGTTCTCAAAATGAGTGTCATATCTTTACAAGATCCACTTTATACAAAAAATATATTGTGGCATCTACAAGGTATATAACACATCTATTAGATATATCTAGAAATATGAAAAAATGTAAAATTATCTAAGAGAATATCCAACAAACATTTTAGAGGTAAGAGGGACCTATAAATATGCCACCAGTAATTTCACTTTATTTAAGAAAAAAAAAATCAAACACTTACTTATCACTTAAAATATAAGTTATTATTTGCTATAAAAAGTTTCATCGGGCTACCATTAACTTTTCATAATTTTTTTTTTATTACTCCGTACCTTCAAGCAAAGGCAATTACTATTGTGTATATATACATATATAGGAAAAGAGTTCTAACATTATAAAATTCTTAAATTTAGGAATTTTAGTTTCTAAATGTGTTTTAATTATAAGTAAAGTTTCCTAATTGGTTTTATGAGAACAGTTATTTTGTTGTTAAGGGTATATTAGACAATTTTTTCCCAAATGGACTTTTAGCTAAAAAAAAATTTATCGTGTATCGGCTTCCAAAAAACTCATTTTCAAGTACAAAAACCCATTTTCAAGTACAATGAAAAGCCCAAAATCGCACGTACAAATTGAGCCCTCAACCAAACCTCGTGGTTTAGTTCAAGTTAGAATAATTTTATACATTTCCAACCTCTTCTTGTCACACTCATTCAAGAATTAGCTGTGAAACGCTGAGCAGGACCAGTTGATTCAATATGAATCTCATTGTTTGATGGTAATTTACGTGATTGAGAAGTCTGTATGGTTTCTGAGAAAGTCAGAAAGCTTACGAAAATAAAATCCGAATTTGTTGCCTTTTCTTGTCTTTTGTGTTATTTATCTTTTAATAGTAAAAAACAAGATAATGAAACTTTTCTTGTGAATTTATTCTTTTTTTATAGTTTTTTTTTTTGAGTGTGCGTGGAAGTTCCTATAGCTAAAATACACAAGGTCGTAAGCTAGACTAGCTTGCATATTCCTACAAATTTATATTCAGTTTAGAATTGTTTTGCTAGTGGTGGGTTCATTTTTTTGTTTTTTCGTTGTTTTTTTTACAATTTGAAGTCTAATTTTGTGGTCTTTATGTGAAAATTTGGTATCTTGTGTTAAATGTTATTTTACATGGACTGCTTATGAGTATCGGGTATGGTATGTGTCTCATGTTGGATTCAATTAATATCGAAATGCAAAGACATAGGGACAAGGTAGGATGTTCATATTCTATTAAATTTTCTAGGTATATGATATTCAAGGTAAATAGAATGTTCAAAATGGACAATTCATTCATTTGAAAGTAATTGTGGTACAAGGAAGAACATATAAAAAAGGTATTATTTAAGAATTCTGCAATAAAATAGTATTCCTAGATATGCCTGCTAAGCGCATATCCATTGGAAAATGTCGAATACATATAATAGACCTTAACTCATGCGTTGGGTGTTTGATAGGGTACTTGATGCATTTTGAATACATGTGTCAAAATGTGAGTGTTTGAAAAGCTTAGTTTGTGTGTGCCGCTTGATTGGATTCACCTTGGAGTTCTCATGTACCTATAGGATGACTATTTCTTGTTCATCTTTGGATTTGCTTAGGTAGTATTTTGTTCAGAAAGTTGAAAATAATCAACCCCTTCTTTATTATAGAGATGGTTACAACTCTTTTTTATTCTTTAGATCCAATTGAAAACTTTTTCTTGCATAATAATATCATTTAATGGTTTCTGGTTTTTTTTAGTGGGTACTGCGAGTGGTATACGGATCATTAAACAGCTTACCGTGGTGGTTTTAACTTTCTTTTTAGTTGTAAAAGGTCTATAATTAACTGTAATGTCACGTTGCCTCTTCTTTTACGAGCCAACATTCTTATTGTTGTTGAAAATTAGTTGACTTGGGAGAAACATCATTTCGCTTGCATCGGTATTGCATACCAAGGTTGTCAAAACGTGTATCAGAAAATGTATTATTTTTCAAAAACAATGTATCATGTATTGTAAGATACATGCAGTTTATAAAAGATTTTGAAAAATATGTATATCTATGACAAAATAGCATAATAACATTTTATTGTACCATAATTTAAAGAGACTACAAGGACCTAAACAAAAAATTATCAATGTAAGTATTGAAGCTTCTAACATCATTCATAAGTATCAAAATTTAGAGAGTTCTAAATCTAACATCTAAAATAGTCAGAAAATGACACTTTTAATAATCAAACTATTTGCTCCTGCAATGGAACACAAAAAAAAAAAAAGTTTTTTTATTTTTTAAAATTATAAATGGTGAAATGACGTCGTTTTATAGTATTTGAAAGAATTATTTTCAGTGAATAGATGCCGTTTTTGGTTAAAATTCAAAAACAAATTTTTTGATCGCCCTATATCGGACGACTTATACGTATTGTATTATGTACATGCGATACAGTTCAAACCGATACAGTACGTATCGTTTTGTTTGTGTCGAAACATATGGTATGTATTGTATCACATATCATATGATACTAACAACTATGTTACTGAGCATGAAAAATCATCACAAGTCTGTCAAGTTTCGTAGGAAATTGTAGCCATGGCAAAGCTACTTTAGTAGCTTTTTGCAAGTTGAGTAAATGATAACTCGCGCAGGTGATATTGGAGGGAACCTCATGTATCAAAGATGGATGAGATGAACTCTTCTTCCTGATAAAACATTTCTTCCTGAACTCTTCTTCCTGATAATTTGACATTTGCATTGTTGTATGCTATTGCCCAATGGTGTATGGACTAATTGAGTGCACTAGAAGTTATACCTTTTCTCAAAATGCTTTCTTAAGAATACTTATATTTTTATCAATTCCAATTGCAGGTTCTAATGATCATAAAGGGGCTGCTCCGGAGATATAAAAGATGGAACCCTGTGCATCCTACTTCTGGTGCATTTTGGGGCATTGGAATAGGTGTGGGTTGCGGGGTTGGATGGGGTCCTGGCTTTGGTCCTGAGGCGATTGGTTATGTTGGAGCTGGCTGTGGTATCGGAATTAGTGTAGGGATCACTCTGGTTGGTTTTGGCATTGGTCTTCCTGCAAATGGCCTGTTTGAAGCACCTTACAATGGTAAACTTCTCATTTCTGTAGTTGAATGGTTTTATAAATGTTCTGAACCCCTCATTCACATTGTAAGTTACCTTTAATCTTTCATGTGCATCTAAGGAAACCGACACACTAGGAAAAGTGATAGGTGTAGAGGTTTATAGTTTTCCTTGTATTGCTCATTTATAGTCTTGATTGCCAATTCTTTCATGCCTCTAAGCGAACAGAGAGACTACAAAAAATGTTGTGTTGGGGTTTATAATTTTTCTTCTATGCTTACCAGCCTTGTTTCATCTTTCTATGCACATATATGTTATAAGTGCGCAATTTTACTCTTGATTGCCAATTGTCAGAACTTTCTTTTTTCACTATTTTCTCTGTACCAGCTTTTATGGCTACAGGAACTGCTGTAGTGGAGTTTGCTCGATCCAATGGTCTACTTAGCATGGGAAACGTTGCCGGTGATGGTTGGAGGAACATTGGACCACACATTTCTGGGTTGAAAAGAAACGCAAGTGGAAAGTTCCCAATCTTCAAGTACAAAAATCCCTTGGACAAAGGGGTAAATTTTTCTGAGATGAAGAGCACCATGTATTCCGGTAGTAAATCTATTCTGGATCATTTAGGAAGAATCAGTGATCGCTTCTTTCATCCTCACAAAGGTATGCTAATAACTTGGAAGTTTTTTTGGGTGGTAAATAACTTCAATGTTAATACATCTTAGGAGATCACCATGTGTTTGAAAGTGTTGGTTTTTTGACTGGTAACTGGATTGGTGTGTTCCCTGATGTGCCTATTCTTGTCACCAACTGCATGCAATTATGTTCAATGATATTTGATCCTTGTCACCTTTTGCAATTGTGTTCTAATTATTTGTTATCTCCTTTCTTCGAGAAACTATTCTGGTCATACTTGTGCTATTCTCTGTTGAGCCTACTTGCAAGGCAAACTGCTTTGAATTTGTACAAGGGCCTGCTTAGGTCGAATGCCCATTATTAGCCTTGGAGCTGCTTGCTAAAAATTCAATCACTGAATTGAATATATGAAAATTAAATCATTAATGTAAAAAAAAAGAAAATTAAATCATTAATGAATCATTTGTGGGGTTTGGCTCTTTGCACAACCCACCATTTATGCTGATGTAGTCCCATATGTTGCTCTAGTAAAAGCAAGTTCATAGAAGCAGGAACTTTGGAATTCAAATTCAAGCATATACATTACATATATGTCCGTGTGTGTGTATTTATACAAATCCGAGGGAAAGAAAAAAAAGTAAAAAGAGTTGGACTCAGCACATATACGTCATTATTCGGCTCATATAAAAAATATGCAAAATTATTCAGTATAATATATGATCAACAGACTAAATAATCCCAACAAATAAATATATAGCATATCATACTATTTAGGATAATTGCAATAGGAACTTAACCTGTTTGATTCTATATAGATTTGAGTGTGATCCGGTTATAATCCAATCTCTTAAATTGGTTGTGGATTTGAAAAAAGCGAGAGTAGGAAAGGAAACTTTTGTTGGATAAGATGGATTTCACCCAAAAAAAAATGTGAAAAAGTCAAAAGGATTTGCATGCAAGATGAAGTTGATCCATCAAGTTTATAAGTGGGAACCATTGAAGCAAATCAATAGTCTCTAAAGTCATTTTACATCTTGAATATAACTGTAGGAATGCCACGATGAGGTTTAATATGGAGTGTTTGATAAAGAATTTTATATACGTGAGAAGTCTTGACAATTGGTGACATTTATTCTCCTCTGCTTCACAACTCCCTCAGTCATAATATGTATGTATATGTATGCTTGTGCATGTATAAATTAAATAATATATGCATATATGTCAGACATATGTATTCCAATTTATGAGTACACTTCAAACCAACCAATTCCGCGAAAAGTTTTCTATGATAGTGGCAGTTTTCAATATGTGTGCCAACATGAGGTAACCAAATCACCCGCAACTTAGCCTACTTACAGGGATTTCATTCAGATTATGAACATCATTTAAGGGATTAGGGTCTTTGAAATTCCTTATTATCTTTGGATCAAGGGAGCTTATTGCATGATAAGGTTATAAAACCTAGTCTGATTATATCAAGCATTCTGTCCCCCGGATTTTGCATTTCTATTCCTCTTATTACCATACCAATTTATATTCTTTCATTAAAGAAGAAGTGGGGAAATAAATGTAGTGCACATCATCCTCTTGCAGGTTTAAAGGATTGACACCATGGAGGATTCTTAACCCTGTAGCCACTTATTGTAAGTATCGTAAGAATTTGATATTTGCCTTATTCTTCTTAAGGAAATAGTTGTAATATCAATAATATTCATTGGCATATCTTTGTATTTACAAGAGAAAAAATTTCTCTCATTTTGGTTTCCTCATTTTGTAATTTTGTTGATCATAAATGTACTTATTTTGTTAACTCTTATATTGGATAGAGAGCAAAATATAGTCAATATTATATTTTCTTTCTCATTATTACCAGCTTCAGTAACTCTCAAGCATGGTTTTCATCGAGGTTGGTTGACACTTGACTTGAGGAGATGTGATAGTGGGGTGTTGAAAATGGTGGTAAACGGGGGGTGATCAAGTTTTGCCTCTATTGTTGTAGGGATTTGCACTTGTGATTTTCAGTATATTATGTCTCCCTTTTTCAAATTTTTTGTGGGGCGTTCTTTTCATCACTTATCAATATACTTCACTAGTAATTAAGGATCAAAATATCGTTTCGAAACAGTCAAAACGTCCGAAACGTTTCCGTTTCCAAGGAGACCGAAATGAAACAGTAATGGAATCGAAATTCTGATATTTCGAGGTATTCCATATTGTTGTTTAATGTATTATAATATTCCAATGCATTTGCACAATTGTTTTAGAATGTTTTAAGGTATTTTAAGATATTTTGATATATTTTCATCAATGTTTTAGAAAAATAATTCTTAAATATTTTATTTTTTTCATTATGTTTCCGAAACGGGTCGAAATGTTTCCGAAACACGTCGAAACGTTTTCGTTTCCGTGGTGACCGAAACAATACATCGAAACGATATTTTGATCCTTGAAGCTGTAATATATGCAACCTTACTGGATTTGTAAATTCTTGGCTGTTATTGACATGTTGGGATGGAACCATCAGTCCAGACCCTACCTACGTTCCCGGGGGAGATTGGGGGGGATGGGAGAGTGGGAGAAGAAAGGAAGGTGAGGGAAAGGGGAAGCACAGCAGTTGAACTCCAACTTTGCAGACAGCTAAGGAGTCTTTTCTCTGTTTTTCGGGCTGGAATTTCCCCCAGGCACATCGTGCCTAAGCTAAACTTCTAACTTGCCTTGTCCTCAATTATCTGTTTCATGAGGCTTGTAGGTATGCTAACTTTGGCTCTTGTTCGTATTGAAGCTATTGCCAGGCTTGAAGTTCATGTCCCTAACCGGCATTTTCTATCTAACAAATCGTCTCCAAAAGAAAATCAATGTTGTTTGTTGGCAGGTAAGCCCCATTTTGTAACACTCCTTTTTAAGTAGTTTTTGATTTTTTTTTAGCACTTTTTTTTTTCATATATATTTTTTTTCTTTTTTCTTTTTTCTTGTTCAGGTTTACTGTACTTCCTTCCTCCAAGGTTAAATGCATTTATAGTAGTATACATATGCATTTGTATAGGTTTATTACTTATGTCCTAAGATTCATTCAGATCATTTTTTTACAGAGGAATCAAATAAGTTTTTGCTTTACTGACGAAATTGTTATTTTCTTGGATTTTTTTTTTTTTTTTGAACTTAAGTTTCCAAATGGTAGCTATATTTTATTCGGGAAGTTTAATAAAGTCTGAATCCTCTGCCTTGGCAACCATATTTACTTCTATTTTACGTAAATATTTACTTATCAAAAGAATACTTTTAGCAGAAGCAAAACGGGTTAGAATTGACCTTACATGTTTATGTTTTTCAAAGAAATAAGCAGGTACCAGAGTAATTGATAACATGATTATAACAGTGTAGTCCTGTGAATAAATTTATAACCTTTGGTTACTTTTTATTTAGTTATTTATTTTTGTAGTATGTTCAGTTCGGGCATTATGTGCAAGCCAAGCATAATCAAAAACTAGTTCTCTCCAGTAAAAAGAAACAGTCCTTTTAGTTGTATTTTTATGGATAAACTACTACAATGGCATGGCATCCTTCTAGTTTCTCACATTTTCTTGTTATTTTTAAATTTACGTTCACACCCCTTCAGATGTACCTGTTTTGTAACGCATTAGCCCACCAACTGACAGACTCTCAGCTCAGGACAAACTGATTTTGCTGACGTAAGTAAATTACATAGAATTAAGTACCCATTTTACCCCTTAAGTGATAATATGTGTGTGTGTGTGTGTGTGAAAGAGGGAAATTTATTTGATTTACCAAACAACTTTTAATTTAACAACAAATCTACTCCTGCAGGAACAATCACATGGCTCTTTTCCTGCAGGAACTTGACAAGAGTTTCCACCAGCTGTTTATAACCCATTGTGCTTGAACCTGTAGGAACAAATACCTTCTTTCCATTGAAGAATTCATCAATCATTCTTGTTAACATGTCCTCGGTCACATAATTCTGAGAAACAGAAACCCATGCGTAGCAATCGAAATATCGCTGCAGAGAGTGGTGGTTGTACGCCTCAGCAACCACAGTGGTTTTCCCGGCGCCACCCATTCCCACCACTGAAATCACAGTGCGCTAGCTGCCTATCTCCATCCATCAACCACCTTAACGGTAAATCCTTTTCTTTCTCTGTGCCTACAACATTGTCACTCTCAACGAAGAAGGAACACTCCCCCAGATTCTCCACCCTGCTGGGACTGTGATCTGAGCTTGAAGTTGAACTTTCTTTGAAATGACCCAGATCATATCTCTTCTTTCGGCTATGGCTTTGATTTTCTTCAACTTGGTGGCGGTTCGATAACTCAAGAGTGCTCTTCTGGGAGGTGAATTCTACGGAGGAGAGAGAAACTACCCATCAAACCACCACCACCACCTTTGTTTATGCTGTCCATGTGATCGATGAATTCATCCATTATGTCTTCAACTTAATAAGGTGCATTGCGTACTTGTGCCAGCCAAACACTAAGCCTGTGAATCTGGTCTTTGTACCTTTCAGCATCCCTTACAAAAGATCTCATGCTCTCGAGCTCGAGCTTTATCTCAGAGATTTCACTGTGAACTCTTGTCATCAAGGTAATCGTTCCCCCCATCCAGGACAATTTCTTCTCCAGTAGAAAGCTGAGGTTCAAAATTGAGACTTCCACGGCACACCCAGCCATGTTTTTGCTCTCTGAATCTCTCTAAATTCACAAAACAAGTTTAATTACTTGGTCTTTCTTGCTGCTTCTTCCTCTCTCTCCAAGATTTTTGAGGTACCGTTAACAAGTGTGATTGAGGTAATGAATTTAGTCAATTCAATTTTGTGAATTTGGTGAAGTTGACATCCACTCTGAATCAGTGGCTACTGGAGTTTGTAGAAGTCATTGTACAAACATTAATAATACACAACTCTAACTAAGAATGACATGTTAATTAACGTTTTAATTTGAATTTTGATAATTTTTTGAGGTTAGTTTACGAAGAATTTATTTTTTATGAATACCTAGTCTCGGGTTTGAATCTTGGTAACTTCTTGAGCCAGTATATGGAGGATTTATTTCTCATGAATACCCTTGTTCCAGGTTTAAATCTTGACAATTCTTTGAATTAATACATGAGAGATTTATTCATCATGAATATTCTAGTCCTGAGTTTGAATCTTGACAATTCTTTGAGGTCAGTACATGAGAATTTATTTCTTATAAATATCCTAGTTTTAGCGTGAATTGTCTGTTCTGACCGAACTAGAGAAAAAATTAGTTGCGGCATTCAAATAGCCCTAACAGTCCCAAAAAAAAAAAAGGTAAAACCCGTATTAGGATATATCGGAAACAGCCGTTTTTTCCCCCATTGTACTCTTCACCGTATCATTGTACTGAATAACCCAATTATTGTCACAAAACCACAAGAGGAATACTACGTTACGGACTTACTGAAATTTAGTCCTGTTATAAATTTTTTTTAGGTGTAAAAAATATGATCAATCACAAAAATGTTATGATAAATCATAAAAATTATATTTTTTAAATGTTAAATTACAACTGATTGGGTTATTTATGATCAATCATGAATAATCTAAATTAGTTATAATTTTACTTTTAAAAAATATAATTTGACCATTAAAAGTAATAACTTCTGTTCAGAGTCAGAGCCATAAAATCGTTTTTGGGTGGGCATTGGACATTTTAATAAGGTTTTAATTTTTTTTTCTCACAATCTACAAAAGTATGATAATGCATTTAATTTTTTTGGTTATGCTAGATTTAATACTTCAAATTTTTCTTCAAGACAAAAATGCCAAAAAATAGGTAAGCACAATCAAAAGAAAACAAAAAATTAATTAAAAGTTTTTTGTTTAAAAAAAAAAAATGGTGTCATCTCATTTGAAAGCATTTACCCACGATCAATTTTCTCAATGTTAGGCATTAACAATCAAGAACCTAACAATATTCACAATTGATTAAGAATTAAATAATAAATTATTAAAAACAGAAGAAAAACATTGTCAAAAATAGTATTGCTATTAAAGAAAGATATTTGCTACTTCAAGAATCAAGGAAACCTCTAATGGGTTACGCTACAACTAATTGAGGAGTTTAAGAAGTTTTTAAACACATTAGTGTAATACAAACTTAAAAAATAAAATAATTTTAAAGAGAAAAGAATTTTACACAAGTTTGGACCAATAATAATAATATAAATAAATTAATCATAGATGGGTGGGCACCATTAGCTACCACCACTAAAATAAGTTAAAAAAGAATTAATGGTAGACTGGAGGACAAACCAACAGACTCAAAAAAATCAACCATCACTTGTTTTTGTAAAAAAAAAATTCTGCCGCGAGAGTATTCAGATTAATTTATATATATTTCAACTAATCTCTTCTTTTATCCGATTAAAATCAAGTCATTCACACCAAGATTAAGATATTTATAAGAAATAAAATCTTGATGCTTTGACCCTAAAATATTGTCAAAATTTAAATTCAAGACATCTAAATTTACAACTCGATCTTATTATCCTCGAAATTATCACTAATTATTGTTAGGACCCCTAAAATTATCACTTGTCATTTTTGGAATACTTTGGTAAATGCTTTGGATTCGTTCTAATCTGTCGGATGTCATTTGTTACTATTAAGCTTTCATTTCAAGAGAAAACCAATCAATCACTGCTTCAAATCATGCAAGCATGTTATGGTACTAACATGTTTTTTCCTGTGTCTTACGTAGATGACCACTAAATTCCTTCTGAAAAGCCTTAACAATAATATTTTGTGGGACTGGGGCATCCGGAAAAAAGAATAACCGTACATGTATGTATCTAAAAATAAATCATAGATGATCATTAGCCCTTTTGAGGAAAACTATGATGTGGGAAGAAGTATCGTACCAAATTAAATTATAAAGTTTTAGGATGTAAATTATAACTATAATCAATCAAAAATGTCATCTGGTCTGGTCTGGTTGCAATATTAAATAGTGGAATTACAGAATAATAACATATTAAAATTCTTTAATCCAACCTATTTGGTTGCAAAAAAACATTCCATATTATATATAATTTTATTTCAAATATTTATCCAAATAATACTCTCTATCCGTATTATAATCAAAATCAAGCATATTAAATTATAAATTTATTATTTTACCCACAAAATAAACAACAATATTAATAATAAGACAAGATTGATAATTTTTTTATTAATATATAATTAATACTCTCTTAGCCCACTCTAAATCCAATCTCTTACTAAACACCAGATTACAATGCGTAACATTTTTGTTCTCGATTTTATCTTGTAATTTATCCATTTATACAGAATTAACAACATGTATTACCTAATACAATCCATTTTTTTATAATACTATAACCAAACGAGCGCTTAAAGTTCAAATTACAACTAATAAAAGAGAAGTTACAAGGGGTGTGTGATGAAATTTATCCATAGTTTTATTTTTATATTCTCTCTTACATGGTGATGAGTTCAATTATAAGCATTTTCAAAGTGGCCTCCATGGCATTAAAATCCATAACCAGCAACTTTGAACTGTAAAACAATTTAGAAGGGTCCGAGTCAGTTTCCAATGTTGGAAGCCACAAATCTGATACACAAGTATTCAAAATACAAAAACCAGAAGTCAAACAGGAAATACAGCAATCAGAACATTTGACACCATTGATGCCTGGTAGAAACTACATTTATTGTGGGTGAAAAACTTTAGCATGCATTTGTTAAAACACAGCTAGTCTGGTTCCTACAGAATGTTGAGAACCGACATCGAAAATGGACCTCTAAGTTCCAACAACATGAAGATACATATGCAGAATCCAAACAAAAGCATCCAGCTAAGTACATTAACAATTTAGTAAACCGCATCTCAGACAGCTTGCATTAATATGACTGCAGCGTTTCAAGCATCGCCACCTAGCACAAAACAACATGGAATAGAGTGGTTTCAAATTCTCATTCTGTTTGGAAGGCAAGCATGAGGTGATCATTGAACAAGATTAGTCTGTTAAGAGACTTAACTCACCATTTGAGGAACTAGCGTTCTTCAAAGAGAATTCAGAGGAGGCCATCGGAAAGGAGATAGATAACTGAGTGGCAGAGGAAGAACTCTTGTTGGAATTCCCATCATCCAGATCAGACCATGCCTCTCTAGGTTTAGACCATTCATCGAAAAAAGGCCGCATAGAATGCTGATCCTGCTTGGCTGGCCCTGGTGAACCAGTGTCGCTACCAAAGAAGCAATGTTGCTGCCGTTGTTTTGACATTGCAACATCAATCATAGGCTCAAAAGTGTGCCCCATTTGCAGCTGTGGGTAGTTGCTTTGAAAATAAGAATCATTTCTTGGTCTCGACAATGGGATGGAGGGAAATTGAGATGGAGGGAAATTGTGCTCATCTGCATCAGGTGTCAGTCCATGGAGATACCTGCATGTTTCATTTGTAAACAAAATCTGGAGTTCAGCCACAATTGCCACTCCAACAAAGTAATATCCACAGGTTGTGCAAGGGGTACAGACTGTATACTAGAAATACTACCTAGAATTCATCAATTTACCTAAAACTACGAAAGAAAATTCATCTCCCAACCCCACCCCCTTCCCTCTGCTCTTGTTCACATCAGCATTGGAGGAAATCATTCCCAGGGTCGTAAGTCCAACAACAATCTTAGAAGTATCAGCACAAAGAAGGACCAAGTATGCCTCTTCATTCTTCCATTGTACATAATCCTTTCCAGTTTCCAACAAGGCTGTTAATCTGACTCCAGTATTTGGAGGCACAGAGATATATCATATGCTGAAAATGCGTTGAACAAATGTTCTGTGATCATCTCAATAGATCTTATTCCATCCATTGTGTAGTGTAGATAAATGACTTGAAATCATTACTATTACCGCAGAGTCTAGTATGTGATACCGAGGATATGTAACTTGTGATATAGAGGACTGAACTTTGAATAGACCCCTTGTTAGCAAGTCTTACGGTATATTAATACAGCATTCTTGTTTGTCTTGCTTGCCAATAGGTCAAAGGGTCTCCTGGATTTTTGGATTTGATTCAGGCTGCATTTAAACTTCTCTTCTTTCCTCAAAAATCATACGATGTGTTTTTGGACCACAAAACCCCCTCAGCTTCTTTCACGTAGAATGTAACACACACACATAAACAAATAAAAAAATGACAGAATATTTTAGTTTATTGAATCATCCCTGCCTAGTGGATGAGTGATCCTAGAGCAGGAAGCTCCTTTTTTTTCAGCCCTTTGGATTTGGCAAAAAATGCATAACCTAATATGGAAAGATTGGAGACGCCTTCGGGCTACTACAATGCAAAGTATTCTGCTCGGGATCGTCACAGCATTTGACTATCCCTTTTCTCCCTCATTAAACCAACGTAAATTTCAATGATTAAGACCTTTTCTAATTGTCACTTATTATTGCATGACATGATAACACAAAAGCTTGGGAAAAAGGAAGGGCTAGGATCATAAGATATTTAATGATTTCCCTTCATACACTTTGTCTTTGCTTTTGTGAAGGCATCATAGGGTTGGAAGGAATGGAAGAAAACTAAAATGACCTCCAATCCTGTCTCCTCTAGTTCTACTTTCTCCTTTTCACCAAAGCTCAATTTTTTTTTTTTTGGGGGATGGGGAAGGAGAAGGGAAAAGGTGAGTGGGACTTGAACCCTTGACCTCAAGAAGACAAAACCTTTATAAGACAAGGAATTCCATTGGACCAAAGGCCCCTTGGTGTCAAAGCTCAGATGTTAAAGTTGCCGTCTCTCTCTCTTAACCCCCAACCCAATCTCTTTTCAATGTAAAGGAAATATTTGTGCCGCAGATTTTACCTAGATGTTTGCATGCAACATCATTCAGTTATTGAAGTAAGAGGATTACTCGTTCAATTTTATGAGGGACAAGAAAAAGTAGCTTCCAACAGTTATCAATTGCATTTTTCCTACCTTTAAAGTTACTCATGTTCTAGAGTTCAGTAAGATCATGAAAGAGTCCACACCTCTCTAGGAGGTCAGCTACCACAGGGTGTACCTTACTTCAATGCGTAATTCTTGTGTCTGCTATACCCTACTTCCACACATTTTCACTACTGTGATTAGGACTCATCTCGATGGAGAGATTAACATGTCTGGTTTGTTTTGCTCAAAATTTACAGAAATATGCACAAATTGTGTGCATTTGGACAACCCAAATCCATAATAACGAAACCGATTCATCATCTACTAAACTGAGACGTGGCATGCCATGACACCATTTTTCAATATAAGCCTGCATCTGCCACTCAATGGGATAACATCACCAACAAATTTTTACGTTCAGAGAAATTGATTTCCAGTGCAGAGAGTAATGTGGGTATCAGCGACTCATTGCTCCATTTACGCCATTACAATTGCAAAGGTTCCTGACCATCAGCCTCATCTCAAGTTTTAAGAGCATCTCCTATTGAAGGCTGATTAAAGTTTACTATTCATTTGCATGCTGTAGATGCCCGACTTTAGATTTTATAGGAGTGAGTCCATATCCGACTAACTCTCTTTAGATCTTTGTTCTATGGCAAAATCCAGAGCATGTTTCATAAAATATGATGAGCTTGCTGGGAAGAAGCTCCCTCCACAACTTGGTGACTCCACTATCTGATTAACAATGTGACTCCACTATCTAATTAATAATGACAAACTCTGATCAAGGAGCCACATCTAGAGATGCTTTTGTGGCAGAAATAAGAATCCATTTGACTCCAACTCAGAGTCCAGAGGAGGTTCTCCTATGCTGAAGACTAAAATTGAGAAAAAGGGCATTGTAGGATCAAGAGAGTTACGACATAGGCATTTCTCCCTGTCTTCCTCCTCCCCCTTCCTTTTCTTATCCTACCTCAGATATATTTTACCAGCACTGACACTTCTTTTGCTTTGTACCAGTGCCCAATCGGTTCTACAATACACATGACAATTACATCCAGTCATCAATTATAAAAGATGTGCTGCAAATACGTCTAGGTTGCCACAGTGAAAGCAGGATGATTAGTGCTTTGTGGATTATAAACATATGCAAGCATAAACAATGTGAAATCACCATGGCATACCTTGTATTACTTTTAAACATGCACACATTAACCAATATAAGTAGCCAAAAAAACACTTGTAATCATAGAAGTAATGCTTTTCCACAGAATGTCCAATAACTTTCTTGAAGTTGTCTACACTGTATATGGCATGGGCCAGCCTATATTCCTCAGAACAAATATAGCCCAGACTTGATATTACTACACTAATATCCTAAATCAAATTTACAGTTTATACTGATACCATGAAGGATTGTAAGATAAAAGGGAACATAAATGGGGTACCTGTATTCTTTGTTACTGATCCCATAGGGGCCAGGCTCCATTTGCAACTTTGATACATTGTTTCCATAGAAAATATTCCCCGCATTAACCATGGTGTATGGCGGCAGGTTTTGAAACATTCCGCTGCCACTACTTTGGGAACTTCCACTACTACTGTTGCAGCCAGCAGAAATGTGTGACATCGCAGTTGAGGACTGCGAAGTAAATTGAGATTCCACAGGCTTTCTTGAACGGTTGCGGCCACGGTGCATGTGCCGCTCACAGTACTTGGAGTCTGGGTAGGCATCTTTGGAGCACCTCCACTTCTTCCCATCTGTCCTTCGGCACCTACCCGGCTCAGGGTCAAATTTCTTCCCATAATACGAACAATAGCCCACTGCACATAAAGACTAGAAACTGAAAGCACCATCCCAATTGAAGGTAACAAAATAGAACATTCTAGAAGTTGAGATCGAAACTTAATGATCTATACGGGTTAAATCCGAACAAAACCTAAGGCAAGTCCCCAAGGAAGGCGGTACATGTGTAGTTCCTCTTTATTGCACCAACAACAATGAACTTATTTTTCCGTAAGCAAAACCATATACTTAGAAAGGGAATGAGTTCAAGTGTTCAACCATTATAAAGTCAAGAATGGCCATCCCATTGAAAGGTCCATGTCCATCCCGCCAAATGCAACCATTAGCCCCCCAAAAAACTGTATCATTCAACGTATTTAGTATGAATTTCCTGTTTCCAAAACACAAATTAGATAAAATGAAATAATTTTTATCAGGACACCTTAACTTAGTTTTCTATCTGATGTGGGATTCCCACACATGCAATACCCGACAATCTCTCCCTCATGTGTAAACCATTAGGCTTGGCTCCGCCTTGAGTCTGATCCACCACTCTCCATAAGCACTGCGTCCAACCACTTTTTAAAAGAGCTCGCTCATCTAAGAACCAAGTTTTTACTGCTCTTTATGAATCACCACATTACCACACTGCCAAAAAGCCCTTCCGTCCAATCCTGCACCCTACTCTTTTTCCGAGTTGCATTTCCATGAAACAAGGCCTAATATACATGTGGTGGCTTTAAAGAAAAATGAAAGGCTCTTGGTATTGAAGTCATGGAAACGTATTTTGGAAAAAAAGAAAGGCGCGATACTAAGCGCAAGGGTTCTTGGCAGAGTAGTAATGCAATGACTCATAAAGAGCATTAAAAACTTGTTTCTTGGAAGAACGGACTCTTATAAAAAGTGGTTGAACGCAATGTTTGTGGAAAGTGATAGATCAAACTCAAGAGGGGCCCAAGTCCAATATGGTTCACACATGAAGAAGAGATTGTTGAGTATTACATGCGTGAAAATTTCACATCGGATGGAAAACTAAGTTAAAGTTTTACAATAGAACAATACTACATAGACTTAAAACACTGACATTGCTGACTTAATCAATCGAATCATTGATTTAACTGTGTCCCAATGTTCATTTTGACCCATTATCTATTCAATGACTATAATTGATCAAGTCAACATTTTAAGTCACAATTAGCATTTTTCTTCATAATATATTGTTGATGGGCACACCGTCTATAGGCTTAAGCTTTTAGGTGAGCATGGGTTCCAGACATATATATTGGATCTTGGATCATTGCACTCCCTAGTCTCCTAACAATTTCATTTCTTAAAAAGTTCGAGTTTTTTTTTTTTTCCATAAGGAAATCAAAAAAAAATCTTGCTCTGCTGTAGATGGGAGCTCTGAACTTTCCTTTTAAGTTCCAACAGAATCATAGAAAATAACTAAATTACTACCCTAATATTAACTGAACAAATCTATATCAAGCAAGAGAACAACAAAATTGATTAAATTAACAGCACTGCAACACAATATTCTCTTTCTAAAGGAAATGTACATGAAAGTCTGTATATTTAAATAGAAAATAAAATAAAAAAATTTGTTGGTTGTGTCTTACAGGTAGGGTGGTGAAAAAACCTGGCCGACAAGGCCCCAAAGCTATGGCGAATGGGGACGACGAGGTCAGCCGGCACGGGGAGTCCAGCCACAAGGTACTTGTATATCAGAGCTTGATGCTCCAGCTCCTGCCACTGAACAGCCGTAAACGGCGGCCGAAAATACCCCTCCCCACCAATCCCAGCCGCGGTCACCGACACCGTCGAGGTCCCACTCATCTCCACCCCCTCCCTCCTCCTACCCAGAACCTCTAGACACCCCCCTGTAATTCCTGGAAAAAGGCTGCAAGAACAACAAAATCATCAGAGACTCAGAGTCATACATCTAGTTACTTAGTGTGTGTAAGAGAGAGAAAGAGAGATAGAGAGAGGGTGACCTTTGTGGGGGACAGATCTAGGGCTTGGCTTTGGACATACTTGAAAATGGGTGTGTGAGAGCAGATGGAAAAAGCTGTGAGAAAAAAAAAGTGGAAGTTAAGTACAGTGGAAGAAGAGTGAAAGTGGGGGTTTTGTAGATTGTGTTATACCATGGTTTTTCAGCAGATAAATGGGCTGTGTCTTTGGAGGAATCAAATGTGAGTGAGAGGTTTGTGCTGAGGTTGGAGGGAGCAGTGTGGGTGGTTGGGGTACATGCTGTGAGGTGTGGGGCTGGTGATTGAATTCCTCCTGTGGCCCTTTATTTTACGGCTCTTTTCAGGTATAATAAAAGGAAATGAAAAAAATTAAATAACTCTCATCTGCTCTCTTACAAATCAAGGGGAAGTGATTTTGTTTTCTCATTTTAGTATTCTTTTTTCATTTTCTATAGGTATAACTTCTCCCCTCTCATACCAAATAAGAAAACCCTAAAAGAAAAAGGTGAGAAATTTAACGAAACAAAAGAGGTGGATTTTTTTTTTTTTTTGTCTTTTTTAAACTTAGTACCACGCATCCATCTTTCAACACGCATGATTGATATTATAAATAGTAACAAACATAACATACCCCTCCTTCAAAACTTAATCTATAGACATAATATAATAAGAATAGGGTAAAAAGTTGATCAATGGTAACTACCATCATGTATTGAATTGGACCCAATTTTTTAGTCTCATCCAGTACAATACTCAAATTAAAAATAACCTATGAGAGGGTTTTTTGTTTTTAATGAACACAAACAATGTAATACATGTATATTTTAAATATATTTTATCAAATATCATACTATAGTTATAAATTTTACTTGTATTTATTGCCAATCAAAAATAGGTTGATCATTGTATTATCTTTAAAAAAAAAAGAAAATACTATGTAATACAAATTTATAATTCATAATTGCATTTCAAATTAAGAGAGATTATTGGATGAATGAGTATTATCAATTTTTTTAAATGGGATCTACTGATCTAATAATATCATTCATTTGAAATACAAATTTGAATTAGATAACAATATTAAAAAAAAAACAAAAGAAAAAATTATTAAAGTATTTTACTCACTCAAAGGTTCCCACGTGGCACATGGCGCAGTGGCCAAAGGAATTATTTTGCCAGCTGATGATGATATGATGTCCGTCTCTTTAGCATCTCTCTCTCTCTCCAAACACCCTTTTCTCTGGTCTGGTGTTCGATCATAGATGCGGACTCAGTGCAAGACAGCTTTTTCGACCCCTCAACTAAAATTGAAATCTGCCCGCGAATAAAGTCGGTGCCCTCGGCCTGCCCATTTCCTCTGCCCGGTCTCTCTCTCTCTGTCTCTCCTCTTATTCTCTCCGTCACCTAGAGCTACCAAAAGGTCTCTCTCTCTCTCTCGCGAGCCATGAGTCTCTTCGGTATTGGCCGGTAAGCACAAAATCTTCAATTCTGTGATTTTAAATCTTTAATTATGTTATTTCGGCAATTAATTATATGGATTTTGATATTATATGACCATGTGCACCAGATCTTTTGTTTTGCGATTTGTTTGTTGATGTTTTAGTGCGTGAATTAGGATATATTTCGCTTAATGTTTTTCATTTTTTTATTACTGATTGTTTTTAATACATATATTCATGTTTCTCCGCCCCAGTATATCATTTCAATTGAGACTTCATGCATGCAGGCGGATCATAGTTAATAAGAATTGGAATTGTAGAGATTAGAGAATCGAGTGATTAAGTAGATGTGTGGATTGGAAAAAAAGCAAAAGAAAAATGAGAAGTTAATTCAGGTGAGCTTATAAGACTCCTTCGTACCCCCCTCCCCCACCGAAAGTTAGGCTTTTTTTGTTGTTACCATCGTGGATATCAATGGATTGGAGTTTGACCCGAATCCGAATCCATTTTATATTTGATACAGGTATGCTCTGATCCAAAATAAATAATTATATATATATATATATATGTAAGAATTTAAGTGATTATTTAAAAAAATTTAATTGAAATTTAGATATAATTTGTTAAATTAAGTTAGTCGGAATGTTAACGGATTCAAATATGGATCATGAAAATAAATCCGTTAGATAATCAGTTCGGATTCGTATTGGGATTAAACTTTTTAAATTCGAGTTTGGATCAATCAAAATTCGATCCGGGCATATTTGTGTGTGAGACCTAGATTACACGATTCGTTACTATAATACCTCAACGATTTTGCGCTTGAAATGCAAATGCACGATTTCAGAGCGGATTCAACACAAATTCGCAGATTCAAAAAATTAAATCCCCAAATTTCATGTTTACAATCCGCGAATTAAAAATTTTCAGGATCCACTTCACAATTTTACCGGACTTTTAACTAATTTTGGAGTTGGACCTAATTCCAAGCAAAATTTGTCAGTGGACCCTCAAGACGGGACCAATTACTGAACTAAAAAGTGTGCTGTTGTAAGTAGCAGCCTTTACATGCCCACTTCCCATAATCAACCGATGTGGAATTCTAGTGAGTTGTTTACAACTGTGTTGCCCACTGACCCCTTTATAGGCATGTTGAGGCTTCACTTTTTGAAACTTCTCCGATGTGGAACAAGTCCTCAATGCAGAAATGTCTTTCAATTGTTTTTCCTTTGTTTTATATCATTCACCATATTGTTTCCATATGGGATTTGAGAGTCAAATCAATAATAAAAAAATTTAAATAATTTATTATATCTTTGTGTATGAAATTTAATTGTTTAAATTGTATTTTTATTAATTTTTGTATATGTAAATATCTTTGTATGTATATAATATGACACTTTAAAGTGCTCTCAATCTAAGTTTTTTTTGAATTTTTGCGCTTTTACGCCCTCGCTTTCGCATGTGATCTAAGGTGAGACCCCTTCTTTCTTACAGCTATGCAATCGAAAAGTAAAAAAATAGAAAGAAATGAGAAAAATGATTTTGTTAAATTGTAATTTTCTAGCGATAAAGCCATATGAATCTATAACATTTTTTGTATAACCCTAGAGACTCTACACTTGCATCCTAGTACATGCAGTAGTTGGGATGAATCAATAGACAAATGAAAAGCAAGGATAAAAGAAAGAATTTACAATAAAAGTAAAAAGGTTTCTTTATATGTAAGGATTACTATTTTGGTGTAAGAGCATGGGCGGAGCCACCCTTGGGTTAGGGTGGTGGGCACATGCCCCCCTCAATTTTTTTTGCTTCATATTAATCATGTATTTTTTGAAATAAAATTTAGACATATTTAATTATGTTCATCCTAATATTGTATTCTGGTGATTTTGATTTGAATAAACCCCTACCTAAATAATTGTTAATTTTTTAAACAATATTGAAATCTAATTTAAGGACCTAATACATTGCGATATTATGTATAATAGTAAGTCTTAATATTTAATAAACCTTACTATCTATCCAATGGTCACAAACCACTGAGTCTCCATCAATTAAATCTCAAATTAAGTACAACTAATATAATTGTTAACTTTTAGACATGTTTGAATATGTTTTGAACATATTGATGTTATTTTATAATTTTTTTAAATTATAGGGTTATTTTGTTATTGTATAAAAATATGTGTCGTTATGTAATAAATTATAGAATCATAAATAGAAGATTGTTACCACGATTTTATGTATAAAAGAAATATTGTTGATAAAATTAATTTGTAACTCTTTCAAATAATAAAAACATATCAGGGTCAATTGTAAATAATAATAATTAGTCGCATTCTCACTAAAAAGTTTTAATTATTATTTTTTTGTTCATGTTATGTATATCGATTTTTAATTTTCTATGTTTAAAAAGTATTAAATATAACTTTAATAAATATAAATTTATAAACTTTTACGGTGTATTAAAAAAAAATTAAAACATGCTAATGTGTCCACCCTAAAATTTTTTTCTAGCTCCACCCCTGTGTAAGTGTAAAGCATTAGTGGCTCATTGATTTGTAATTACTTCCTACAATTTTATCTATAGCTTTGCCCTCTAGGCTACAATTGTCATTAGTAGCCACTGAACTGATAGGTGTGGAGATAGATTATTTGTATTGGATGTTTGCGAAAACGCGTGAAAGAAAGAGATCAAATATTAATTTGTCAGTTTATTGGTTATTGTTTGGTGCAACTCTAATACCTGAGTTTTGAACCTGAAAATGTGGGTAAAAGTCCAACGGCACCCACTATGTGCAGATAGTAGCTTGTATCCAGCCCACAGCCACATTAGTGGGACTAACAATGGGTATTGGCATTGTTTGTGCCTGTATATATGTGTTTTTTGTTTGTGTTTGTGTGGTAATGGCTTGCCAATGATTAACTTTCTCGCTTATCAATGCTTGCTCCAACTGGGTAGTAATTAGGTAGCAAGCATGTTACTGACCATGTTGGTAGAAACGGCTAACCACCCATGTATTATGCACAAGTAGTAGACTATATATTTATCCGAAATTTCATAAACTGAAAATCAGTGTGTCTGCTTGGTTGGATAGTAAGCACATATTTTAGACAAACTTGTTGCCCATTGAGCTGTGTTGCTGCAAGATGGGTCTTAGTTCTACATTTCCCTCCAATCAGCAAATTTTGTATGAGTTCTTTGTTCCTGTTGTCACAGACTCACAATTCATGAACTGTTATTTGGGTATTGTGTAGCAAGAATTAATTGGAGGTACTTTCTGGTATTTTGGGGGTTAATTGAAGAAATAAGTTTGGAACAGTCATAAAACTAGATGTAGTTGTCAACTAAAATTTTTTCTAAAATTTCACTGAATTAACTACTTTTCACGTGTCTGGGGTATGATAGTAAAAAGCTAGGCTGTCAAAAGCATGCTTGTTTATTATACTCATCGCAGATACACAATTCAGATGAACTATTCTTCCCGGACTGAAGATTAATAACTGTTTGTTTTGTTTACATGCTCAAATGTTACTGGATGACTCTCTGTCGATAGTTTTTTCATGCTTTAAATTTTCCTGTTAATGAGCTTAGAGACAAAATTATAGTATGCATTTCTTTGGTTTAGTAGTAATTTTGTAGTTTACATTTTGATCCACTTCATCTGCTGGTTTGTTATGATTTCATTGGCTGTTGGCAAACAGGAATCAAAGGACATTTCGGCCCAAAAAAAGTGCACCATCGGGGAGTAAGGTTGCTCTCTTTGTTGTACTAGAAATTTTCTCCTCTCTTTGTTTTCTTTCTGGTATTTGTTTTCCTGTGGTATGATTTCTCACATGTGCCAGTCCATAAATACCATTTGCTCACCATTTAAGGTAGGAATAGAAGAAACATAAATTCTTTCATACACCAAAATGCACTATATTTTCATTTTAGATATCTACGTAATTCCATTTCTACCTAAAGATGCTTCTGATGGTCTTGTTAATTTCATTGCTCTCGTCATCCTGCACCCTCCTCCCATTGATTGTTTCACAAAATATCGTGCTTAGACGCTTAGTATGAGCTTACAGTAGTGACAGGTACTCAAGTTTTATGTTAGGGAAAGCCTTAAATGATCTTCAAAAATTGTCAACGTCAATGTTTAATTGATGGCTTACCCATCCCTTCAAGTAAGCCCTTGAATGTTATGGATTTTGTCAAACTGTTTTTCCATGCTGTGTAATAATAAATGTTTCTCACCAGTTCTTGTGGTCTAGCTTATTTAATTATGCTCACTGCCTAATCATTATGATGCAGTGGGCATAATATTACAGACTCCTCTATAACAATTTGTTTTGTCATGTAAAGAAATATCGACCAATTCTGAAACATTTGCTTCTCAATTTTGCTTTATTATTGGACATACTAGATTAATATGAATTTATGTATGTTATATTTCATAATTTCTTAATGTAGGGGGCACAGCTAAGAAAGCACATTGATGCCACTTTAGGTAGTGGAAACCTGAGAGAAGCTGTAAGGCTTCCCCCTGGGGAGGACATACATGAATGGCTTGCTGTCAACAGTACTCTCTCTGTCTCTGTCTCTCTCTCTCTCTCTCTCTCTCTCACACACACACACACACTGTTATTGATCAATTGTGATCCTGTTTGTCCTATTCCTTTCAATTTGTGAGGTTTAGTCTTGCATGACGCTGTTTTCTTTTATTATTTCCGTGTTGCATGGTGGTGGATTTGGAACAATGATAGTGGATAGATGATGGGATATACTGACACAGCAACTACTTGTAAAGTAGTGCATGGAGGTGGCAAGCATGCCTCTCTATGCATGTAAACAAGTGTCTAGGAAATGTTGCCTATATGTCCAACAGTGGAATTTTATATTAATTGTGAGAATATTGAGGGATGTAGGGCCAACATTTAAGAATCTCCAAAAGTTTTCATGTCCAAAACAGGTGCAACATGGATTCAACTCTTTTGCAGATGTATGCATGCTACATTAATGCAAAGTTTCTGTTTGAAGTTCAGTTATTCTGTTTGATGTCCATTTAACTGATGCACAAAATCTATCAGTACAGTGTCCTTTTTTTTTTTGGCTCACATAATGCAATAAGCTTCTCTCCAAGACTGAAATCTGAATAGAGGTTGTTCAAATTTTCAATTTTCAGCTGTGGATTTCTTCAACCAGGTGAATCTCCTCTATGGCACCCTCACAGAGTTCTGTACGCCAGAGAACTGCCCCACGATGACTGCAGGCCCTAAGTATGTCTTAGTAAAGTAGCTTTTTTTTATGTTACTTTTGTTATTTGCTTACAGAAGAGTCTGGTATTAAACAAGATGTTGCAGAACTTAATTGATACATTCTCTGATGAGTTCATCAAGTTCGCCTAAAAAAGAGCGGCTGGGAAGAGTATATATGCATTCTTACCCTCGCATGCATTGAGACTATTTTTGTAACTCGAACATGTGACGCCCAGGTCACATTGGAGTTTTACTCTTTATTTCATGAGAAATCTTGGCAATTTTTTTACTCTGCAGCCTATCAAACTTGTAAAAATATGCTGGCAATTGGTATTGCGTGCACGTGTATGCATGCATACATTTACATATAGCTTCTGTGTTTTATACATAAAATAACATCACTACTCAACTTTGGATGACATTACTGATATCTGATAAAGTCTTTTCTTTTAATTATTAGCATGGCCCTTTTAAGAATTTAAAATATTGATTTGACATTTTACAACTTCTAAATACCTTAGTGCCCGATGGATACTTTGTTAATTTGTATTTCCAGTACTGTGCCACAGGTTAGTTAGCACACACTACATGGTAAATTAAAGCATGGGAAGTGGTATACTCCTACACGCATATTGTAGGATTAGCACTGCATCCGCTTTTACAGTATAAACTGTCACGGTGGTAATTGGTGAAGTTAACAGGAAAAAAAAAAACTCTTTACCACGATCACGGAACTTTGTAGGCTTATCTCTGGTCTTTGCCAGTCATTGTGACTTGTTGGTATCGATCAATTTTGTCCACTGTCATCTTTGGTCTTTGCCTCACATCGCGTATGATAGGTCTGTTCCAAAGTAAGAAAATCATTGTTATGTACCATAGTTGCAAGGAGGAGTTAAAAAATTGAATGGCATGTGAGCATCATGGCCAACTGCCAACGATCGGCACTGGTGGTGGTAGTTGGAAGTTGAACACAATGGTACTTGATGGATTCAAAGTTTCCAGTCGACAGATAACTAACGAGGAATGGTGGTGTTGATGCAGATGGATTATGAGGGTTGTGATCGTGTGAGCAGAGAAGGGTTGCAGCCAAAAAGAAGAGGGCATGTGGTACAATTACAGTTTTTCTCGTTTCTGGGAGCAGTAAAGATGTAAAAGATGGGAGCACTTTTGTCCTGTTAAAAGTGGGCACAGTGATTCTTTGTGCAGGAATATAGTAGGACAGATGAGTCCTTAATTTATGAAAGGACTTTAATGGTTTTATCGCCACTATCATTGTGAATGTTTTATCTTTATGATTTCTTCATTTGTTTTATTTTAATTTTCATAACTTATTATTCGCAATCATAACCTTTACTGAACCTTTTCTGGGATTTTTATGGTTTTACAAATCTGAAATTTACTCTTGATTCCTGAGATGGTGGATGTCGTGAACATCGACTTTATTCCTACTGGCATGGTGGGTGGTGGCAGGGTTCTCTACTCTTAAAACAATGATGTTGGTGGAAGCCAATTTGGTGCTCATCAGCCTCTTTCTCAGTCTTTGTGATGGAAGCATTTGTGGCCTTTTTGGCAGTTCTAGAAGTTTCTGGTTAGGTGGCACTTTATCTCGTTTGTGTTTCATTGTGGTTAAGGAGGCTACGGTATAAGATACAAAGAAGGGCAGTTTGATGTTCATGTTTGGAGATGAAGGGGAGAGAAAAAAAGGAAGGGGGGTGGGGGGGGGAGGGCTATATTGCATCTGCTTCATACTGATAATACCCTTATGTTTTATGGGTTGGATGAGGTACAAATCCATTTTTGGGGTGTATTTTCTTTTTAAGAGCTATTTTCAGGTTTAAAGTAAACATAAGTAAAGCGAGTGAGTATTGTTGGGAGGAGGGGGGGGGGGAATGGTGTCGTCTTTGTATCATTCTTGGTTATAAACTGCCATTTTTGTGGATTTGTTGATTCCCACACGTCGATTTACTTGGTTAGTGGTGTTGGGCGTCTGTGTGTGTAGGCCGTGGATCACTTGATTAGTATAAAATGGCCACCAGAATCCGTGATCACTAACATATCCATAGCGGGTTGCATAGGACTTGCATGTTTTCCCTCTATCTTTGGGGTTCGATAGGTCATGCCTTGATCAGCTTTTTACTTGAATTCAGCTGGTTGATTAGGATTGAAAACTCAAGACATAATTCTCTGTAAATTACCTCCTTGCTTTATAAATTGTACATATGGAAGGAGTGGATACAAACAAATTTGGTTGAATTATCACTGTACATTAGAAACTGTTCATTGCGGATCTGTAGAGGGTGTTAGTATTGGTGGCTGTCTTGTTGACTTTGTTTATTGGCTTCGAATTTTAACCCTGGGCTGTAGCCTGGTTTTCTACCCTGCATGTACCACTTTTGTCTCTTTTGCTTTATTAATAATTTTATTTCTATGGAAAAGTGAAGCCTATGTAATGGCATTTAAAACTTGCGATAGTTTCAATGTGATTTAGTGTATCAAATTTCTAAGTAATATGATTATTGCGCTTGCTTTTGCATCTCTACAATGTTTGCTATGCCTATCCGGATATGTCCATACTTCCAATCTGTTTTCTGGTTTCTATGGGATGATTGAAATGTTTCCTCTTTCTTTGTGTCTGTGTTTGTGGTCTATTGTTTTTCCTTTCTTTCCTGATTGAGTGTCATCTTGAAAACATCATATTGAACAGCGAACCGTCCCCAGCAGAATTCATATTTGATTTTCTGAGATGACCTGAACAAATTTACTAAATCTGCCTTATAGTTTATGAAAATTCCAACTTCTTGGAACTTTAGAGTGTAACACATATAAACATGAAGTCCCTGACATAGTGCAGATAAAATATTTCAGGTATGAGTATAGATGGGCCGATGGTGTACAAATCAAGAAACCCATAGAAGTTTCGGCTCCAAAATATGTGGAGTATTTGATGGACTGGATTGAATCTCAGTTGGATGATGAATCCTTATTTCCTCAAAGGCTGGGTAAAAACTTGTGTTTGATTTGTAGCCTTATGTTATCATTGTGAAAGAATCAGAGATGGTAACCTTTTGAAAAGAAAGCGCTGGCTGTATTTTCTATATTATGTTATAATTCCTTTGTCTGTTGGGCATGGGCAACAGGCATTAGTTTATGTTTGTGTAAATTTTGTAGGTGCACCATTTCCTCCCAACTTCAGAGACGTTGTGAAAACAATATTCAAACGTCTGTTCCGTGTATATGCTCATATTTATCACTCCCACTTTCAGAAGATTGTGAGTCTTAAGGAGGAGGCTCATCTAAATACCTGCTTCAAGCATTTTATACTTTTTACCTGTGTAAGTTTCTCCCAATCTTGGCAACTAAAGTTAATTTTCTCACTCTTTTTCGAAGAGAAGTACAGTTCTTTAAATGTGCCAATTTTCTTCAGTGGCACCATTTTCATTACATAGCACTAGGTTATCTTGTTTGCATTATTTGTTCTTGTTGTAATCTTGGTTTGTTAATTGCAGTGTCATTAAGCTTTTTATTTTTTTTATTTCAATAAAATTCCATTTTCTTTCATCCGAGGGAGGGAGGGAAGGAAGGTGTTCTAAAGAAATCTGTTGGAGTTGTAGTTGGTCAGAGGTTGTCCCCTCTGCTTTTATATCACTATTCAGTTTGCAGTAATTCTTTATGTAGTAATTAATTGTGATTTTAATGGCAAAGTGAACTGTTTCCTTATGTGGAAGTCATGTATTTTTTCTGCATCTGGAAAGCACGGTATCTGTGGTCACAAGCACCTTCTCCTGGTTGCAGACCAACGGTTATATGAATATCCTTATATACCATGTCAGATATTATAAGGTGCCGATGCTATATTGCTGTCTGCTCGAATCAATCTTCCTCTATGAGTGTCCTCATTCCTGTGTCTTTTGACTTTCAGAGAGGGTATTATTTAAGGATTGTGATTGTGCAGTTTAGAAATGATTGGGATGCAATTATCATATGATGTTTTACCCATCATAAGACCATTAAATTTTGTTTACAAACTCTTTCTGTTATGCTTCTATGCAGGAGTTTGGACTGATTGACAAGAAGGAGCTAGCTCCACTTCAAGAGCTTATAGAATCCATTGTTGTTCCATACTGAATAGGTTTGCATTTACTTATACGAGCTGACTTTATCTACGGACCCAATAAGGTGATGCAAGAATATTTTTATTTGGTGTTCTAAGTATGCATACTGATTTGATGACATTGCTTGATGTTATAAATACTGTGTATAAACTGAATGTTTTTAATTTGTCAAAATGGTTGCACGGTAAAAAAGCCTTTGTATCGGAAGACTTCTGGCAAAGGAATGAATAATCAGCTTATATGATGCATGCAAGGTTAGATTCTGCCACAAAACAGACTGGTTTACTTTGCCAATGGGCAAAAACTGGTTCCGTCCAGAGGGAGAGTGAGTTAATATACTGATAGGGATGACTGTGGACTGGGAAAAAACAGGGATACATGTATATACTCGTGTGGGAATGGAGGCGTAGATGAATGGACATTAATTAGTGTGTGTTGAGCTCATCCAATCTTGTGTCTTCAGTAATGTAATTGCTCCTGCTGCCTCTGGATGCTGTGGTGGTTTGTCATTTGGACCATGATTCTCAGTCGCGCTACAGGCCATTGACTCGGAAGACATTGAACTGTATTGGTCGTGGTGTAGTAGAGTGGTGTTGGTGTTGTGCATCAAATGCTACAAAATGTTAGATAGAAAAAGAAAGAGAGATTGAAGATTATGAAATGGTGTTGGGCGATGTGTGGTGATCCAATGATGGTGATGTGGTCAATTCGGTAAAAGCCTGAAGAGACGCCTCCTAGGTAAATTAGAGTGAGATTCATGGTTTACACAGAATGCTGAACAAGCTGCATCATGTATCAGACATGAACAGCCTCAAAATCACTAGTGTTATTGGTTAGTAGAGTAAAATCAGTGAGAACTGATGATATCCGTCGCAGTAGGGGTCCTCAAAAGGCCGATGATGGCCCATGGTTCAGCCCGGAAGCACCGTGGCCCTCGGGCGGTGGACTAATCCTGTCTGCCAATAATTGGAATTTGTAAATTTCACCAGAAAAAAAAAAAAAAAGAAAGGAAAGATGATTGAAATTTTAATGATCCATGAAAAAATAGTTGGCGAAGGATTTATCCCTTGGCCCAATTGTCTTGAGTTTTAATTCAAATTTTAGCAATCATTTGGGATTAGGTCATGTCATGAGATATTTATTCTCTATGAATATTTTAATCTTGGCATAGAGAAAATATTCAATACAACAGTCATAGCATATCAACCTTCTACCAATATGAAAACAATTTCCATTTTGGCAAAAATAGTCGCTTAAAAAAATGATAAGTATAGAATGAAACATGTATCTTTACTGTATAAACAATTTGCTACGCATCGAGGTCTACCCTCTTCCCAAGTCATTTTCTGGTGGAATCATTCGTTCTTGATTCTCTATATGCTCAATTTCCAAACAGAGGAATAAAGGAACATTAACAAATCATTATTACCAAATAAGAAGGCATCATTAGCATTTTGACAAGGTTGTTAAAACAATCCTGATTTCCTGTTAACTCTTTATTATATCCATATTTAACACTACTTACAATTAATAGATTCCTTTTTCCATCGCCAAAGCCGAGAGGCATATACAAGAAAATAAAGAATTTTGAGCCCCTAAGTTTTCCATTAAAGTTGATTTCTGAAAAATGAGTCGTGTGTGTTGGGCTAACCATGGCTTCTAACAAATAGTTTCCTTTCCTATGATTTCTCAAATACCAAAATACTATATGCCAAGAACAATATAAAAGAGGAAAACTGACCTTGTTTTCTCATAGACCAAGAGTGACAATGTCAAAGATGAAGAACACGAGAAGCATGCCTCCATGCTCAAAATTGTTCTTCTGATTGGGGTTCAAGATTTCATTAACAAAGAGCTTATTATGAATTCATGAGTAGAATTTACTCATAAAAATCGGCTTGCAAGTAAAAGGTGCCCAAGAGTTCATATACACACATTTAGAATTATTTTTAATATTACATTCCATCACGCTTTGATAGCAAATGTCAAGTCATCTTAATTTAGTCTATATGTCGTCTCTTCCGTAACTCAACCATAGAAGGTTGCACCTCACATTAAATTCGATTTCATACTCCACGTAGTTGATAACTTTGATACCAATTGTTATGAACTCATGAGTAGAACTTATCCCTGAAAATCGACTAAAAATTCACTTGCAAGAAAAATGATGTCCAATAATTTATATACATATATATAGTCTTATTTTTAACCAATGTGAAATCTTTACAGAATTTGAGACGACTAGAATACAAAAGCTCTAGACATACCAACAAAACGTCCAATTGCTATAAAGGAAAACTCCAAGTACTTGAGCCTCCCATAAAAACCTGGAGCAGGGTTCCAAACCCTAAGGCGAAAAGTTTTGGGGTTTGATACATACCGGACCGCAGAGCTCCATATGTGCCATGCACAAACCAGAAGGAACAGTGTCCCTGGAAGAACATGCCCAGGAGGAAAAGACCCCATCTCACCAATTAAACAGCCAAACCAAGAATCACTCTTTTCTTGTCCACTCCTCTATGTCTAGACCATGGTAAAACCAATCCTAGAAAAAGATACATCTCTAAATATAGACTATTCTCTTTTCTCTCTTTTCCATTCAAAACTCTCTCAGAATCAAATAAACAAGGAAAAAGTTAAAAAATTATAATTTTTTTAAGACTAAGTTGTAATTTTTTTGAGGTGTGTAAGTTATAAATTTAAAGGGTATGATCAATCATAGAATGTTGAGATCGATACTGAGAATATGATCAATTATAGTCGTCTGTTATCGATCGAAATCTTCTCTTGAATAATTGTAATTTCTATTTTCAAAGTTACAATTTTATCATAAAAAATAGTAACAATTAGATTCCGAATATTATTTTTTTGGGTACCTTAAACTGTCCCAAAAAATCAATTAAGGCAGTTGAAAAGGATTTTTTAATTACTATCATTCTATACCTCTTGATCCTATAAACTACCAAAAAAAAAAAAAAAGAAAAGAAAGTATTCTTTCTAGGAATCAGATTGTGTCAAAAAAAAGAAGAAGAAAAGATTCATGTACTTACGAGCTTATAAAGGTTTTTTTTTCCCTTTGCTTGATTGTAGTTTGTGATTACGATCCAAAAAGCAAAGGAAGCTACACATTTCAAAGATTGGGGTACTTTAGAGTAGATAGTTGAATGTGTAGTGGAAAAGCTGTGTGATTACGTATATCGTGGGGTACAGGGTACGAGGGAAAGAAAATGTTAAATAGTTTTAAAAAATTGAGGTCTCCATATTTAATATAGCAATCATACTACGAATCAAATTTTTAAATATATATAGCAAAGTCTTAGATATGGGGTCTGTGCCTGCTGAAAAGGCTAAGGATATAAGTCACGGGAATTACAAAGGGATTATCAACGTCTCTCTTATGATGGTTAGTGTCTAAATTTGAGGGATTAAACGACACAAACGTGTGTATTGTTAAAATTTTTGAAGTTAACTCCCAAGGCCCAAGCACAACCGAATTAGATGGTGAATTAAAAACCATCTTGGGATTGTTCCCCTTTCAGCTAAAGTGGGACCATGTCACTGCGTCAATCAGAATCTTTCTCCATTCCACCGTCATCAAACCTCTCGCCGGACCTCCGGTGCTCGCCGATCTAATCTACGCCGAGGCGGTGGATACTAAAAACAATTCACGAAAGAACAAAAAGGCTTTCCAAAAAGATGAGATGAGATGAGATGGGAGTCTGAGACTACAACGTCACTATTTAAGCAGTCTCTCTCTCTCTCTCTCTCTCACACACACACACCCTCCTGTATAAATATTTTTTAAAAAATCTCTCTGTAGGGCGTAGGTGTATACTTGCAGGCTAATTTTTAATGTGTTGTGATTTCAAGGTGGAGGCGGCGTGGTAGATCATGTGGTTGAACCGATTGGTGAATATAGAGGGAAGAATTTTCGCCGTTTTTTTTTTTTTTGGATTTTTTTGGTGTGATGTTTGATTTTGCGACGCGAATTGGACTCTTTTTGTAGTGGAATGAGTGTTGGAACGAATTTTGAATCCTGCGGATTCGAGGAACTGGTTTTGGAAGATCGGTTTAATTTTGCGATTCCGTGGTTTTGATGGAAATTATGATTGATCAGGTGACTTAGGGTTCTATTAATTGGCGGAAGTGAGGATTGTGGCAGTCTGAGCTTCCGGATTGGCAGAGTTTTTTTAGGTTTTTGGTGTTTTTTCTTTGGTTAATCTTGGATCAATGAGACTTGGGGTAATTAGTATATTGTGATAATCATCGTTGGATCAGTATCAGTCAGTTCACGATGTCGAAGGTGGTTTATGAGGGCTGGATGGTCCGATATGGCCGGAGGAAGATCGGAAGATCCTTCATTCATATGCGGTATTTCGTTCTCGAGTCTCGGCTGCTCGCATATTACAAGAGGAAGCCTCAGGATAATGTGGTAATGCCTCACTTTGAATTTTTCCGTTGGATTCCGTTTGAACTATTTCAAAGTTTGCTGGATTAGGAATAGGTTCACCTTTTTCAATAGGTTTTGAATTCAGGAAATTATTGACAAAAACACTGTAGGCAAAGTAGGAGAGCATATTGTTGTAAAATGGGATTGTTTTCCAGGGTGATTTGTCTTCATATGACACATTTGGTTCTGTGCACTTTTGTTATTCTCTTGCCATTCAAGGCAAAGGGTAAAAAAAATCAAAAGATATGTCACCCGAAGATATGCCCACTTTATAATATGTGGAGCTTGTAATGATCATCTCATAGTGTTATTGTAAGAACAACTAATAGAATTTTTATGTATTCTATGTGTTCTTAGGTTCCAATCAAGACCCTTCTCATTGATGGCAATTGTAGAGTGGAGGACCGAGGCTTGAAGACACATCATGGACATGTAAGTTCTTTTCTCTTATTGTCATTTGCTTCTCCACAATGTATGTGGTTTGTGATTGGAATGAATGCACTGAGCTATTTGAACTTGACAGATTTACAGCTTGCATTTAGTAATTACGTTTGTCCTTTGACAAGTGTATTCCATATGTTTTGTCAATTTTTGTTTTTCTGGTAATAAGTTTTCATTAAATTCATTTTTGGCTTTTCATTCCACAAAATAACTCAATTTGGGTTACCATGTGGTTTTGAAAGATATTCTTTGGTGTTGGAGTACCTGTTAAGGAACATAGGAGTGAATATAGGATGATCCAAGTTTATTTTGGCTTAAATATAATTCTTGCATAATCTTTTTTCTTGATGTCAACTTATAACTTGCATCATGCGACTCTTCTTTTGCCAGATAACACATTCTGTGCCGCACACTGTGCAGTCATCTTTTTGCACATTAATAATATTGTGGCGATCATAATATAGGCAAGCATGTAAACAACACTACCTTTTTCCAACTCTTGGCTTTGTAACCCTGATCTCTCTCTTATAGTCTCTCGCGTGTACACACACTTACACATAGGCGCACACACACACACACAGGCACTGCTACGTAAAATCATGTGTGTTCATATGGCATGCTGTAAAATTTTGTTCTTGGCAGTGGATCATCTAGTACAATGTTCTATCTTGTTGGCAGTTCTTTTAACTTTTTTTTTTTGGTTTTTGGCAGATGGTTTATGTTTTGTCTGTTTACAACAAGAAAGAGAACAATCATCGAATTACGGTGCGTGGATTTTGCCGCCTTTTGTTAAATGAATTCATGCATGTTAATATGTTATTGGTGGAGGTCTTTTTTACTTCTTTGTGCACACGTACATGGCTTGGAAACTCAAATGGTCGGTATTTGTTCTATGCTGCTGTATTTCTCTTTGTTATTGTAGTTTTGGAGGTCTTGAGAAATGTTGGATTTTTATAATTGAAGGATATAAGGAGAACCATTGCTTCGTGTTATGATAAAAGCTTTTGCTTTAGGCTTGAGACTGCAGGCAGCCAATGAAACTAAAGGTTAGGTCTACACTCCGTCACCCTTTTAGCACCCCAAATTGTTGGAGCTAACATCGGGTGATGAGCCTACTCTAGAAGGATTTGGGCGTTCATTGATCTTAAGCCTCTTCATCATGGTTGGAATTCCAACTATCAGTTGATGATTGAGGTTTCTGTTGCTGATAATCTCATCCGTAGCCAATTTAATGTTCCATTAGTAAACGCTGATTAAAAAAAAAAAGGGTATTTCCATTTTGATTTTCAGATTCTCATTTCCTACATGAGGTAGTTCTATTTTGTTATGTAATGATTTAGTAGCTTTTTGTCTGCATAATATCAGGCAAATCTTCTGGAACAAGACATTTTTTATTTGAATTCATTGTTCATGTATCGGGAGCAATGTTAATATGGTACCTCCATGAGACACGTTTAGATTTGAATTCACAGTTTAAGTATTGAGATCAATCTCAGAATTGGTACCTTGGTTGGTATAGTGTTGCTAATATGATTTAGTTTTTATAATGCATTTACGAATTGTTTATATAAGCATAACATAAACAAGGAGACCAGCTTCATGAAACTAGCAGATTTTTCATGTAGTAGGAATTAAAAGGGCTGTACATGCCAGTGCTTGGTATATGAATGGGAAGATCAGGTTATTACGGTGAATGAAATTTCTTTCTGTGCCAAAATATGTAGGTGATCATTTTAACATTAATTCCATGGAACAAATTATCGACAAAAGCATAAAATTTTGATTATCCCACATTTTTCCTTCGATGATCCTGGAAAACTATGAAGCACAAATCCTTACACATAACTCTCAGGCTTATAGAGATCTCACCAAAGAGAATTGCATCTATTAATGGTGTGAATATATGGGTGAGAACACCGGTGAATCAGCATCTTTAAGGATGTTTATGTTTTCGGATAGGCGATAGCATTGTGCAATCTTTTGATGAACAATTGACATGCTGCATGCAGAATCTAAATTTTCAGTCTTGGTCACTGCTATGTTGGGCACTAATGGATTGATATCTATGCATAATAAACCATTAATGACATGTAACTTTGTCTAACATGACATTATAAGCTAGCTTTTTCTCTAAATATTTGTGGTACTTGTAGCTTGGTGGAGAGATAGTTAGTTACCCATTCTTGTGTGTTTGTTTCAGATGGCAGCATTCAACATCCAGGAAGCACTCATCTGGAAAGAAAAAATTGAATCCATTATTGATCAGGTCTGTTATCAGCAGTGGTGGAGCCACATGGAAGGTTTTTTTTTTTTTTTTTTTTGGGGGGGGGGGGGTGGGGTTGGCTTCCCCGCTGGTTTTTGGTTAGCCCTGACATACATTATTATCAGAGAGATCATAACTTGGCTAAAAAATAATACCCTGCCCCCCCTTAGTTTTTGAAAAATTAGAATAGTGGTCTTAATCTTTTTTCTTTCTTTTTGTTAGTTGACCACTGCCTCTAATCCCATAGAACAAGCATTCTATTTTTGGACTAAGTACAACATAAGTGAACTACTTCTCTTGCAGCTGTCTTTCCAAATTTTTATACATTTTAATTAACATGGCAGTTTATGGTCTGTCTCTTGTGTATGGTCTGTAATTTTCTCTTAATTCTTGGGGTGGATGCACTTGGAACTGATGACATGTTCATTTTGTGCAGCATCAGGAGTCACTAGTTGCTAATGGTAATAAATACCATTCTTTTGAATACAAATCTGGGATGGATTGTGGAAGGAATGCTTCATCATCAGATCATGAAAGTCAGTAAGTATCTAGTTTTTGGGTCAACATGTTGAGTAGTGAATATGTACTGTGTTTCCGTCTCATGATGTTAGAAGCTCTGAGTCCTTATGACCACTGGTCTTTCTCTGGTCTTGCTAAAAGTCTGACTTTGATAATGGTTGATAATATTGCCCTAGGTTTGGGGTGGTTTGGCGATTCCATTCATATTTAACTCAATACTGGAGATAATTTTGGGCAATTTACCCCATTTCTGCTTACCAGTAGTCAAATGAGTGTAGATTGAGGACGTAGAGGTGACAGAATTTAAGAAGGTAGAAGCTTAGAAGGGATTTTTGTTTGAAGCATTTAGGGGCTTTCAATATTGACATAATATGAAAATGATAGAAGTGGGCATGGCCCAGTCATTGGAGCACGTCAAGCCAATGAAAGTGAGTGCTTGGTCTCGGTAAACTGTTACGGCAGTAAAGTTGCGGAGCTGCGGTTTTTGTGCTTTCCCTTTGGATGGGATTGCAGCGGCCAGCTGGTTGATTGCTATTTTAGGATTTCTTTTTATGCCTAAGGTCAACACTGTGGTTCTTGCCTGGGAATTTGATAGTTAATGAATTATGCTTAGTGGCTGGTTTCTAAGCTCATGGGTTTACTGCTCCTCAGAGGCATTGGTGTCTGTTCGACAACTATGTTTTTTAAATGTATAGAGGATGAACCCTAAACTGGAAACCGAAAAATTCTAAGAGGTAATTTCACCTTCTTTGTGGTCACTCAGTGACACCTATGTTCAAATTTAGCTTTTCAGATGGTGCTTATATCTGAAAATTATAGTATTAATGAAATTAGTTTAAGGGCCCAACAGAAAAAAAAATTGAGGTTCTCCCGGGATTAAATTATTGTGTTGTAGCTGGTGCGAGCAAATTGAACGATGCTTTGCAGCTTTGCTGTTGGTCAATTCTGGCATTTGCAGTGTCCAGTTTGCTTGGAATGAATAGTGTAGTATGTTGTTGTATAAGTAGACAGGAGAGAATGAATGGATCTTTTATCTGATGGAGTTTCCTACTTTGTTGATGGTAAGTGCTCTATTGAATTTCATTGTTTTGGGGGCTGGTTTGCAGATAAAGTGGTCAGACATTCATTCAAAAAATACAAGAGGGGAATACATGCTGTGTGCACCGCACTGCATCTTTTCTTCCATGGATGTGGTTATTCCTTCTATTTCTCGTCATTTTTTGTTGATTCATTTTTGTGCCCAGTAGCAACAAATAGGGAAGAATTAGGGACAGACCAAAATTGTTTGATAGACTACATGCAGCTACTTAGACTAATGGAGCAGATGTGGATCAGTTTCAGATATCTGCAGCCTTAAGTCCCCCCTTTCTTTTACAGTGCAGATATTCTGCCACCTTCATCTCAGTTTTTTCATGTACAATAACAAGTATATGGCATAGAGATGTCTGTGAAATTGATCTACATCTAGAAGCTGCATTGGTTCTCTCGATAATTAGTTTCATCAATAGTTTGCAGTTTGTTCTTGCTATTCATTGTTGATTCTGTATTCTTGATTTCTGTCTTTTGGATCCAGTCTATACATGGAGCAATAAAAGACTGCTATCTGTTGTTGTTTCCTTTCATTACATGTATTCTGTTTTTTATATACACTAGTTGGTGCACACATGCTTTGCATGTGGACCGATGTAAATTATAATTTAATATATTTTTATTTTTTGAGATATGGTGATGTAAATATAAACAATGATGTATACAAATGAAAAATGCTCGTGATAATCTTCTGGCCAATGATCAAACCATGATAATTACTTGGAAATTTTTCTTAGAGATTTATTTTGATATTTACACTGGAAATAGGATGAGACCAAATTTGACCCAACAGTGCCCTAGAGACTATGTAAATTCTGCAAAACTACTCTTCACAAGACAAATCAAAGAAAGTCAAACAACACATGGGTTTTTGTGTATATAGTTCCTAAACTTTGATATGTATACTTGTTGCTCCTCTATATATTGATTTAGTTGAGTACAAATGACTATGATGAGGGAACACAAAATTTGAGCATTGTCTAAATGCTCAAACTTATTGGTCAGCCGCATTATTTTCCAATTCTTTTCTAAGGCAAGAAAAAACTAACAGTTGAAGGTGGAGTCCAACAATGCTCTTAGTATCCATAAATAAAAGAAAAGAGTAAACAAACTTTATCTCTTGCAAGATAATAAAAGATGACCATGTCCTACAAAAAAAAAAAAAAAATAAATGTCCATGGAAATTATGAATTCTAATCAAGAAAAGACACATACAACCCCTATATCACACAACAATATTCTTTGAATTTTTAAAATGTAAGCATCAAGACATCTTGATTGATCTCTCTTCTCCTGATCGGATACAAAAGATAACCACTAGTGATCATACGTTTGCCGCCCAAAATGATCTCTTGTCCCTTAAACAAATGGAAATTTCTAATTTAAGGAACAGAGATATATTTGACCACATACTTCTGATCTCAATTTTTTTAACTCTTCTGTCTTTCTGACACTTAAAATTAGAAGAAACTTTATTGACGCATACATATTTAAAAAAAAAGACAACATGATAACTGATTATCACCGCATAAGAATAACTCAAATGAATAATAACAATTAAGGACACAAAAAACACATTAAAAATAACAATGATCACAATGAATACATTAAGTCATTAATGATAACAAGATTTTTAAAAGACACAACATACAACAAGATGAAAAACCACAAACAAATTGACCAAGAACATGAAAAATTACAGCGATTATAAATTCACATGAATTACTTGAAGCATTGGTCTCTTTAAGTATGGTTGTTGGCTTAATCCACACATTATAAGAAATTCTTTTATGCTTAGCCGCTCTCCCTTAGCTGACTTCATTTAGAATGAAAGCAATATAGAAAGTATCTCTGACTATCTTTCCAATTCTCCTTAAACATTGTACCATTATATGTATTTAGAGGAAAATAATCGAACAACTTAAAAGAGAACAAACATATACTCCAATAAACATTGAATAATAAGCATGATGATACAAAATAATCTTAAATGTAGTAGAAATTTTGAAATTCAAAAGCTTCATCATCTTCCTTCAGTGAAAAAGGGAAAAAACTCAAAATAAGCTTTTTTTAAGGTTGGGGAAGGGGGTAGGATGACTGACCAATTAATTGAATTTTCATATAAACTCAAATGATCAACATTCTTATGAAACCAAACCAGTTAATGACAAAATTATGTTGACTCTTTTGTTCCAATTAAAGTCAAAGATGTATCCAAAAGGTAAGCAACATGCACAAATTCATCTTTCAATACAATGCACTATTTTGTGGCAAAGGAATCTATGATGAAAATGCTGGTGATGACACAACACTGGATGTTTCTTTATATCTTGCAAGCCTTTGCAGTAGAGCATGTATTCTATCAATTATGTATTCTATAATTCTTTCAATTCGCCGTAAGAATTTATGCTTGTCTTACAAATTGATTATCATACAATTTTAGGAAAATTCATGAATCTATAAGCATGTAATTTCAAGAATTGGGATTCTTAAATGATTAAACAATTGACAAATCACATTGCCTTAGTTTTGTTCTACATCTATTGATGTTGTTCAATATAAATCCATATAAGAATTTCATACAAATATATAATCAAACAAATAAAGGACTACATCTAATGAAGAAAGAAAATGCATAACCACAAACAAACTATGTAGACTGTAGAACATATATTTAGTTCTAGCAGTGGGAGGACAATACCTATTCGCTCAGAGAAAGAGCAAGAAGCGTTTGAATTGTTGAAGTATGATTTCATTTGTGTATAGCAGTCATAGTTATCAAAATCGTACGATTCACGATTTGATTCGATACAGGTACAACACGATTTGTATCTTACATGAGAATCATTTTAGAGTTGAATCGCACCTGAATCATACCATTCAATTTATATCGCTTGATTCAATTATTTTTTTTAAAAACCCGAATTTTTTGGCAAAACGACGTCGTTTTATTTGCTAAACAGTAAAATGAGGTCATTTTGTTTGTAGAGGAACCCATGCCCTGAAAAAACTCAATCTCTTTTCTAGTTCTCTCACTGATGTTATCAAAAGCTTGACTTGTGTTGTCTAAAGTTAAAGGTTATTGTTAACGCTCTCGCATCATCGATTGATTTTTGCTCTCAATTCTTTCATGGATAGTTCTTGACTTGTGTTGTCTAAAGTTAAAGGTTATTGTTAACGCTCTCGCATCATCGATTGATTTTTGCTCTCAATTCTTTCATGGATAGTTTGTTGGGTTCTAATTTTTTGTTTCAAAATATTAGCTAGTATATGTTCTCCCTATCAATTTTCTTATTTGTTCTTTTTTATTCTTTTTTTATTCATATTTGTAACTTAATCTATATTGGATGTCACTATTTTGGTTCTTGAATAACCATAGTTCTTTAATGAATTTTTTTTTTCAAGTTGCTGAATTGAAAATAGTTAAACAAACGATGAAAATGAAGCAAAAGGCTAGAGTCTTTCCATTTAGACGATGTGATTATGTCAATTGATTATTTTTAGAATGTAATGATGCTCAATATCACGATTTAATAACTATGATAGTAGTAAGCGAAACAAGTGAGATTCATTCTAGGTTGAGTATTTTTGACACTTTTAATGTCAATTTCATCCTTTAACGATAATTATTGTAGTGATTATATTATCTACGCTAAAATATCAGTTACCAACATAGTGATCCCATCATTTATATTCTCAATGCTTCATCCTTTCATATTCTCAGTAGTGGTCTAATTGATTAAAAATTAAATTTTCAGAGTTTGTAGTCTATGCATTGGTCCAAGTTGAAATGCTAATTGATACATTTATTCAACTGAACATCTAGTCCTAGAATACGGATGAGAAAAAATATAAGCTCAGGTGTAATTACAATCACCATTGGGTCAGGAATAAGATAATCTTTACAATATTAATCAGGGAAAAAGTTAAAAATCAAAATTTTTTATCTTTAATTGCTTGTAATTAGTAGGATATATATATAGATATAAATATAGATAGTTTGTGAGGAAAGGGAAGTATATGAAGGGTCATTTGGATATTTAATTAGTATTGGATAATTAAACACACAATGATATAATTGTCTTTGATTTTTTTTATAAGGGCATTATGGTCAATCAAAAGTTTTTCACTTTTGTTGACTTTTATAGTAGTATAGATATAGATTTTGGCTTTGTGACTGATAATTATTTGATATTATTACTTTGACACATACGTTTATATGGAAGTATTGACACATATGCTTATATTTATTCACGCTTAAGCATTCGAGTATGTTGCTCAAAATTACATTTTTTGTGTACTTCGATATTTACTTTCGCAAATCACCTGAATGTGCTTCAACTATGCTTATTTATGCTTTTGAATTTCTTCAGGTTTAGTGCCCCTGAGGATGAAGAAGAGTCTCATCGAAATTTGTCACGGAGAACAACAATTGGGAATGGTTGTTTGTGGTTCCACCTCTTATTATCTTCCAATTTTTGTGGCGTGTGATGTTTAGTCAAAGCTAATCATCGTTGTTCATCTGGCAGGTCCTCCTGATTCTGTACTTGATTGGACACAGGATTTTGACTCTGACTTAGCAAACCAGAATGCCACCAACCAGGCATTTTCAAAAAAGCATTGGCGTCTTCTTCAATGCCAAAATGGTTAGTCATTGCTGTATGTATTTTTTCATTGTGACAATCATTTTAAGGTTATCACGGGTATTATGACATGATTCAGTTTTTGTGATGATATTATGGCATGTACCAGGGTTACTGACATTTTTTATGGGGCTTAGTGCAGGACTTCGCATTTTTGAAGAGCTTCTTGAAGTTGATTTTCTTGTACAGTCCGTTTCTCTATTTTGTTTGTGGGGTTAGATTGATCTAGGGTATGAAGTAGGTTGTATCAAAAGCATACAAATCATGTATAGATTTCTCTGTGCAGCCGAAGAGCTGTAGTAGAGCAATGAAAGCTGTAGGGGTTGTGGAGGCTACATGTGAAGAAATATTTGAGCTTGTGATGAGCATGGATGGAACACGCTTTGAGTAAGCTCTTATTATTCTCAAGTTTTCATTTTTATGAACTAGTTATAAATGTTCGTGAGTATGGTGTTCTTATTAGCATGTAAGTGTTTTAATTTTCTGGATCATTTATAGTATTATTCAGATGGGGTTGCTTTTGATACATGTTCTCATTTTTTTTTCCTGATCGGTTCTGTCGTTTGATAGTAAATTGATAAGACTTTGTTTGTTATATTCATTCTGCACGCTCTTAGCTATATTGGATTATAGGTTAATCCCTGAACTCAGTTGGATTGGTTAGGCTGCTATAGAGTTGTGATGATATTTTTTAGTATTATATTAAATAATTTTTATGGTGGCAACAACTAGGATTCAGATCCTCTAACTTTGTTGTGAACAGTATACTTCATTTATCAACAGAATATAGAACATGCTGGCTTTGCGAATAGCAATATTTGATACTCTAATGAAATAATTTAAGCTTGCAATCAGGCATCTCCATGATCGATTCAAATTATGAAAATCTGGCTAAAGTGAACTTGTCGACATTGACATGACAAAATAGTTTTATGCTTGTACACCGGTTTAGTTATTAACAATTTGTTGACACATTTGTGATATAGCCTCAACAACAGTCTGAACTATAAATATGTGGCTAAATTTGACATTGACGTGGAAAAAAAAATTAATTTTCTGTTGTGACCTTGCAATATAATTTGGCTGTGAACAGATGTCTGGTTGCTTGTGGATACTTTGAAACCCAAAGCAGAGAAGGTCTTCTCCCTTTTAAACCAACTTTGGAGGCCGATGTTCCCCCCTTGTGTAATGGGCTTTCGGAATTCTTCTGACCTAGCAATAAATTCCATATTTCCTTAGGCATAACTGCTCTTCGACGGCTTTTACATGATAAAAGCATTTTGGTGGTTATTTTATCCATGATCTGAGTCACTCTCCTAGAACATGTTTTCTTTTGCTCATATGGCAGAGGGGGTCCTTATAAGCTTTAATCAATACAAATTAATTATGTTGCTAAGTTGTAAGAATTTAAAATATCTTCTTGTACATTTCAGATGGTGGTAAGAATGTACTAACATAACATCTGCATTTTTTATTTCTTTCGGTAGGAAATATAATCTACAATTTTCACAGATGTTGTATGCCTTCTATGATCTATGATTGTTAGATGTGCACATGTTTGTGGTATGTGCCACCTTCATGTGTCGGTAAAGACTATCAGTTAGGGAGGCCTCCCTACATTCTTTTTCAACAGCAGTTTACCCTCTAGTAATTAACATCAGATAACCATACAATCTTAAGAGGAATGCAGTGGATCTTGGTTAATATGTACTGATAAATCAACAATGTTTTGATACCTTCTATAATTATGTTTCTCTTGTTCTTAGTTTATACTCCTGGTATTCATGCTAATGATTGGTTTATGCCTTGTGTAGATGGGATTGTAGTTTCCAGTATGGCAGCTTAGTTGAGGAGGTAGATGGACATACAGCAATACTCTATCACAGACTTCAGCTGGACTGGTTCCCAATGTATGGATTGCTTTCTTATGCCTTGATTAGCATCTGATATTTACCAGTTATATGAATATATATTGAAGTTATATTTTGAATTAAGTATTGAGTTGTCAAAACAAGGTGCTTATATCCAAAATAAGGTGTTGTCCTGTCGTTTACTTTACTAATCTTGTGTATGTGGACGAGCTTCTCCATGACAGTTTGTGTGCGGTTCTTTTTTCCTTCTCATTTAACGATCCTTTTTGTGAGGCTCATTAGTTTGTTATCTAAATAATGCATATGCGGATATCTGCCAGAAGTATGATTTTGTCATCTTTCTAGTTGTTGGAATTAAGCAAAAACAGAGAACAAACCCACCCATCTTTAGTCAATGTTCCACGTTCTTCTTCCTTTTTCCATACTTCTGCTCTTTACAAAAGAAGAAAAGGCTATTTGACATTGTTGACAATATTTATAATGAAACTTACCAAAATAGTCATTTTTCAAACTTTAACTTGTGCAGAAAGACAACAGGTAATTCCTAGATCTATGTGCATTGCTATTAAATTCGATTTGGATTGGATTAGATTGGAGAATTAGGTATACCAAGGAAAAGGAGTAGCATTAACTCGTTGATTGTGGATGGGAAAATTTATATGGAATTAACCTACGAATAGTAAAGAAGAAAGGTTGGTTTATTTTTTCAATTGAGATGAGGTGAGGGTGGGGAACTCCAACTTGTTTTGGTTTTATACCTCGCTCGGACAATCCCACCACGAATCTAAACTCAAAAGAATTGCAATTTACTGAATGCACAAAATACAATCGCCGACACAAAAAGAATTGGGATTTAGTGAACACAGGTGCCTGCTTATGAAGCTTTTCGGCCTATCGAAATCACAAGTTCGAATTGGCATTTCCTTTGATAGTTGACAAGCTTGACTTATACCTAACTCCATAGAATTGGGTTGGCCACTGAGAATCAAAAAACGACTTTCAAACTTGTTGAAGATCCTTGTGTCTCCGGATCCCTCCAATCCAGTTGAGAGATAGCGAGGAGGACATATAGGTTGAAGATAGGTTAGTACTAGCTAGTGTTAAAGAGTGTGTTGGATGAGAGCAGAGTAGATTTCCACTTCTATACTCCAATTTCCAGAGGGCTAATGGCTGGCTTGTTGTCTAGTACTTGATGGTGCATGCAGGGAACTAGGTGTTGTTTGATAAAATTGATTTTGTTTTGTAGGATATTGTTTTTCTTTTAGTAAGTGCCAATAAAAGTAAAAGTGGACAAGTCGTTTTACCCTAAAAAAAGAGAAAAACAAAAAACGACGGAATACATCGTATGCTTAGCTAATGGCTAATATGATCTAAAAAATTGCCAATCACAAGATAGAAAAAAAGAGAAATTCCTTCAAATTCTTTAGTGTTCAAAGCTCAAAGAGAAACATGAGATAGATTTGATCCACTTATCCATCTATGATCTCCCGTTTGTCATCAAATACTTGAGCATTCATCTCCAATAAAATAACCCAAATAGTATTAAGAATAGCACAACTCCACAATGTAGAACCTTTTTTGTTTCTCCCAAAACCCATGAAATCCTCAACGAATGTTGAAGAAAGAGACCAAGGTCTCACCATCTCATTCCTAGTAAAATTGAAAATTAATTGTTGAAAACTAAATACTAAATTTTAAGTGATAAATACTATTTTTTTTTAATCTTATTAGTACAAGAAACTAAACTCTTAAAATTATTATTTTTCTAACTTTTCCACCGTCCCATCATTGTCACCACCTCATTCATGATCATTTGTCGCCACCGCCATACCCCCCTCCCCCACCCCCAAATCTCTTACTTTTACGCCACCATAGGAATGGTTAGATGGTGGTGATAGTGATGGGGTGGTGGTAACTACGACGATGATGATTTAGTAGTGGTGTTGATGAGGTGGTGGTTCAGTTGGTGACAATAGTAATAAAGGCGGTGCTGGTGGCAGGAAGGTTTATGATGGTTGTGGCGGTAGTGGTGGTCGGGACAAATTTGTTGGTGACAGGTGGGATAGGAGGTGGTGGGACAGTTGAGTGGTGGTGGTTGTGGCAAGGATTAATTTTTTTTTTCTAGTGCATAGTTTTGGTTCTAAGAAGTATGGATATGGACATGGGGACAAAGACATAACACAAAACGGACACGCAGACCCGATATTTTTCTAAAAGTAGGATACGGACACGTTGAAGACAAGTTGAATAATAAATTAAATTATATTTTTTTATATGAGTAAATGATAAAATTCTAAATTTTTTTGTAATCAAATTACTTATTAGAACAGACAAATAACTATATTATCATTTAGGTATATCCCAATATCAAATTTAAAGCCACTAAATAAAAAACAAAAGTACCATAATAAGGATGACAAAAAGATCGATTCCTCTATTTAATCATGATTCAACAATCTTAATTTGATCATTTAAGATCACAAGTGCATAAACAACGCTACATACCTATAAACAAAAAATAAAAAGATTGTTCCTCCCTCATAACAAAAACTTCTATTACGACAATCATAACTAAACGTAATTTGCCTTATCTATTTCCATCATCAGTAAAGACCATGGCCTCTAACTCTTGTTTATCAAGGGAAAGTTGTGTAACCTCAAGCTCTCCCACATCATCAAGTGAATCAGAAGCATTTCCAGCAATATTCTACATCTTGGTTTTTCCTTGCATATATTGTGGGTTTTTTCTTGATAGAAGACGAAGGTTGTTGCGAAAGAAAACCAAACCTTTGGCAAGCTTTGGTTCCTTCTTATTCCTTCTCATAGAGTGTACGAAAGAATAAGTATTAAGTACTCCAATTCCGCTCACAACATGATGAAGAAGATGGTTACAAAAGTAGCTTCAAGGTGCACTTGAACCATGGGTGGTGACCCACCAATTTTAAGGATCCATCCCATAGCGATCATGAATGGAGTCGATATCCTTAGCTTCTCCAAACTTCATTGGGAAATTCCTCATTTGTCTTTGTACGGTTCTATAGGGTAGCAAAGGTGCACTTTTCCCAATGTTGTTGGGGTCGGCTACATGAATCCTATTTTGCCATCGAGTTCTATCAAGGGTAACGTTTTCGGTTAAATCATAAGTTATCGTATCTTTCTTTACTTTTGGTCTTTCTTTGTCATTGCGTTTACCTTCAATAATTATCATATCACTTTCTCGCCGGTGTCATAGTAGACTATTTATAAATATATACAAACCACCTAAGTCAATTTTCTTCTCTCGTAAGTTAGCTCCTATTTGTGTTACCTCTATTTTTTTTCGAATATAGTCGTTCATAATTCTGTCTTTCCTAGTCTTACCACAGATTCATCTTAATATTCTCATATCTGCCATACAATTTTTGAATATGTTGTTTCTTAGTTGCTACACTCAATAGTGTAAAGCATAACGGGTCTTATAGCCGTTCTATAGAATTTTTGTTTTAGCTTAAGGGGTATACATCTATCACACAATAAACCAGATGCATTCCTCTATTTAGTCCATCCAACATTATTTCTATGCAATAACATCACTATCAATCTCACCCCCTCTATGAATAATAGACTCTTAAGTATTTAAAGTGTTTACTCTTTGGTATCTCTTAATCTTCAATTTTCACTACTTCTTGTTTTGGATTTCTTCTTTTATTAAAGTTACATTTCATAAACTCACTTTTAGTCATGCTTATCCTAAATCCTTTTGATTTTATGGTTCTCGTCAATTTTCAAGTTTATTATTAATTCATTCTTTACTTTCATCAACTAGTACAATATTTTTCGCAAATAACATATACCATAGGAGCTCATCCTGAATGTGCCTAGTCAATTCATCCAAAGTCAACGCGAAAAGATATGGACTTAAAGCAGAATGTTGATGCAAACCTACAGTAATTGTGAATTCCATAGTCTCCCTCGCCGTTGTTCTCACTAAAGTCATTGCACCTTCATACATATCGATAAAAACATCAATATACCTAACAATAATATTTTTCTTCTCCAAGACCCTTCATAATATCTCTCTAGGAACTATGTAATATGCCTTGTCTAAGTCTATAAAAATCATATGAAGGTCCTTATTTTTCTCCCTTACCTCTACATTAGTCTCCAAAGTAAATATATAGCCTCCATTATTGATCTCCTGACATAAATCCAAATTGATTCTCAGTAATTGTTATTTGCAACCTTAATCTTTTGTCGATTATCTTCTCCCAAAGTTTCATTGTATGACCCATTAATTTATTTGATTCTCAAAAGCATCTCTTACTAGGCCTCGGCAACGGGCCTGACTTGGCATTTTTCGGCCCATAGCCCACCAATGGGCTGTGCCTATGGGCTTTGACTAGTCAACGAGTTGGGCCAAGCCATCCTGTTAGAAATTTTTAAGGCCCATGACCCGTCTGTGGCCTGGCCTATTGGGCCAAAAAGGGACTAAATATGAGTCGGGCTTTATGAGTTGTCCATTGGGCCTGAAATGAGCTTTTTATTAAAAAACTACTTATGTAAAAAAATGAAAAAAGATATCGAAAATTTTATTTTTTATATAAAAATTACAAAAATACATCACTTACATGAAGTTGGTAAAAAAAATAAATAACAAAAAAATTATTCATGTTGATTGAATTTAACAATTATTCATATCGAGTTACAATATTACAGTACAAATTAATTGATGGGTGAAACTATTTTGCATCATTACAAATTGGGTACATCCCAATTAGGTTGACACCTACACAATTGTCAATCATATGCAAGTCTCTTTCTTATTTCTTATTTTGTTTTTAGTATGTATATCTAATACCATTGTCCTATGTTATGTGGTTAAGCTCTCAGCTTGAATGACTTTACAGTCCTTACATGATCTACGATCTTCTCATCTAGTTAGGAAATATTTATCTAACTTTTATTTAATCTGCCTTTAAAAGTTATTAAGTGTTCATCCATCTTTTCAAAATACGTATTTGTTATCACAGAATCATAAGTTATTGCAAAAATCTAAGATAGAACTCTGGCATCATTTCTTTCCCTAAATTCATGTCCACCATGTACCCTATCATAATTTATATTATGACCAAAAAAAAAAATTGTACTCCATCATAACCAATTTGATCATTTCCTATGTGACCATTAAAGTCTCCTTCTGTTTATATTTTTTCTCCTATAAGTATTGCTCTTATTACTTCATTTATATCTTCCTCAAATTGAGTTTTAATATGGTCATTTAATCTATTTGAGGTGCATATGCACTAATAATATTAATTACACTTCCCTCCATTACAAGTTTAATTAATATTATTCTATCTCATTTCCTAGGAATTGTTACTACCTCTTGTTTAAAATGCGGATCTACTATTATTCATACTCCATATCTATGTCTATCTTTTCCTGTGAATAAAGTTTATATCTTGTATTTTCTATTTCCTTAGATTTAGCCCCTGCTCACTTAGTTTCTTGTAGGCATGCTATATTAACTTTTCTTCTAATCATGATTTCAACTAGCACCATTTCTATACCTGTTAGTGTTCCTATATTCCAAGTTGCTAATCTAAGTTTAGTATCCTGGACTAACCTCTTTACATGCGTTCGCCCAAAGAGGCGCAGGAGCCTTGCAAATTTTTCACCACATTCAAGCCACTAAAATGCAGTACCCCTAGCCCACTTTCTAAAACACACGAAGGCAGGTGCAACGCATCGCTTGTGAGGAATGTCCTAGCAGTTATGCGAATATTCATTGGATTCATGTTCATGTTTAGGTTGACAAGTTTTATGCTGGCTGTTAGCTACCTATCGCAACTTCTTTAATCTGGTTGTCCACCACGTGTTTGAAAATTAAAAAAAAAAATACGACACTCTATTTTCACGTGTCCATGTTCTAGACGTGTCAGATACGTGAACTAAATTTAAATGTCCATACTTCATAGTTTTGGTTAGCTGAAAAGTAAAAATATTTTGGAAACATTTTAGAAACATGATGAAAATAGAAAAAAAAATCTAAAAATGTGTTTTTTTAAACTTTCTAAAACATTGATCAAAATATAGCGAAACACGTCAAAACATTTGAAATACCGCGAAGTATAGAAATTTCGATGCTTGATCACTGATTTGATTCTGTCGTTTCGCTGGAAACTAATGAGATTTAGTTCCTTGGGTGGTGGTAATGGTAACAATGATGATGCGCAAGTGGTGTCATGGAATGGGGAGGTTTCGGTGGTGACGACACGGTGGTGGTGGTGATGATGGGACGGTAGCATCAGTGGTGTGGTGGCAACAATGGTGGTGTGAGATGGCAGGTGGAGGAGGAGGCGGCGACGGTGTTGAAGTGGCATGGGCGGTGGATAGTTGGGGCATAAAATGAATTGAGATCAATTTTTCTGTGGGAAATTGGTCCGTCACTAGCAACTCGAAAGTTTTTATCAATTTTAGGAGATAAATTTGTAAGTAATGTGAGTTTTGATTATCAAATGCACTTAACTAAAAAGTGTGGAATATTTTCTATTGAAGTGTTGAATTGGGTTGTCAAACACCACCTTACTCAAGGTCTCAACATATTTTACATCCACATTCCCTATTTTGACATATATCTTTTGGGGTGGTTGGCTGAGGACTTGAAATATGGCGTGAGGTATGCACTTCTATCATGAAAGGGGGCCTAGTTGTTAGGAAGTCGAAAACCTTCAATCAAGCTGGCTGGGATGTGGTTGTTAAACATGAATAGAAAATAATAGTTTGTGGTGCAGAACACTGATGGGAAATATAGGCTTTGTAGGGGCTAATGACTATAAAATGAAATTTGAAGCTCTGATGGGATTTTGTCATGGTGATGGGCAGATGGAGAGGTCTGGCATGGTTCTTGACATGTGTGTGTGCATTTTTCACCCAGGGGGGTGTTACATTTGTGATATTGGAACTTTGAAAGGCGGTAGGTTTTAAGTGTCTTTGATTATGGTACTTAGAGGATGGAAAGGATCTCAACCTTTTTGCGATTGTTAATTGAGGTTGTTCTAGCTTTTTGCAGTGGTCTCTTAAAAGGAGAAAAAGAACTGTTTTTTGTTGCTTTAATTTTTTTAAGTTTATGAAATGTGAGCTACTAAATGACCATGAAAGTTACTTGTTTTTGTATATTTTTCTGGTTAAAACAAACTGATAGTCGGTTCTTTCCCTTTTAATATAACCATGCTTGCTATTGCAGATATGTGTGGCCACGTGACCTTTGTTATGTGCGTTATTGGCGTCGAAATGATGATGGAAGTTACGGTGAGGATATTCCATGACCTTTTATTGGTCATTCTTTTCGATGGGTGTTTTGCATCTTATAATTACTCTTGGTTTTCTGTTTTTGTTGTTCTGCAGTTGTGTTATTTCGTTCTAGGGAGCATGAGAACTGTGGTCCACAACCAGGGTTTGTGCGGGCGCACATCGAGAGTAAATTCCAGTTTCTTGCCTGTTTAGTGATGAATTTAAAAAAAATTAGTAGTTCACAGGTTTTCTGTTTCCATACTTATATTTATGGTAATAGATGTCAACTATATAAAGTATCTTGATGTTTTCAGGTGGTGGGTTTAATATTTCCCCTTTGAAACCTCGGAATGGGAGGCCCAGAACACAGTTGCAGCATCTTATGCAAATTGATCTGAAAGGGTGGGGTGTGGGTTATATTTCATCATTTCAGCAGCATTGTCTGCTTCAGATGTTAAATAGTGTTGCTGGTGAGTTTTTAATTAGAGTCTTAGTTGTCAGAATTTGGAGTGTCATTGCAGCTTGTATCATTGATTATCAGAAAAGCTTTATTTCTTGTCACATTTATGCATGTCCCTTTTTGGATATTATTTTTCTTTCTGTTGTGGACATTCTTCTTCTTCTTCTCTCTCTGTCTCTGTATGTATGTATGTATTTTTTTTTTTTTTTTTTTGGGGGGGGGAGGATATGTGTGTGTGGTCTTGAAGTGATTTTTCTTAGATATTTTGCTTTCTCTATCTAGAACTTCAGTGATCTGATGTCACTCGGAATTTTTTGTTCCGAAAATTGTGCGGCTTGCATAGATTTTGAGGTATTTTGGTCCTTGGACATAGTGTGAAAGGATCTCGTTAAGCAGCTAGACTGGCTACTTATTGTAATATTAGCAATCATGTAACTACTCTACACTGTTTGTTGGTTTCCTTCGGTGTTAATTGCCATATCCTGAAGAAACTGAAATAAATCTTTCAAACACTTTCTTTGAACCCCATATTTTATTTGTTCTCCCCCTCCCCCTCCCCAAATATATATATATATTTTTTTTTTTTTATTCGTTCATAATTGCTCCCTCTGTCCTGAAAAGTAGTTTTTATTTCCTTTTTTGGACTTGCCTATAAAATTGTCTATTTTGAAAAATAGAGCATTATTTATTGCTATGTTTCTGCATATGTCCTTTAACGAATTTATTGCCAGTTATTCATTTTTGGATCTCACTAACAACTAAGTGTGTGTTTGGCATTTAGATATATTAAAAATTCTTATAAATGGGTTTCCTAAAACATGTTAAGGAGGACAATATTTTTGGGATGGAGGAAGTAAAAAGAAATAATATTTGTACAACTGTACTCCTATTTGCACATGAATTAATTGGGCAGCACTTGTGACTATATCTTTTGTATCCGCATTATGTTTTTTTTTACTTGGGAATTGATGTAAAATACCACTTTCGTTGTGGCATCATGATTCTCTTATTTTACTTTGCTAAAACAATATCTGTGCCTTTATGAGAAAGCAATTTTATGGCATTGATCAGATTCGTGTGAGGTAACTCCTCCAGTATAAATTGTCTCTTTTCCATAATGTTTAACTTATTTATGTTTCCTTTTTTGGCAGGGCTGCGTGAATATTTTTCTGTGACAGATGAAAGGAATGCTCCTCCAAGAATCCCAGTTATGCTTAATATGACATCAGCTGCTGTTTCTTCTAAGAAAGTTCAAAAGCTCCGAGAGTCTGCTATCCATCATAGTCCTTCTCATGATCAAATTTATTCTGCAACTAAAAATGCAATGATCGATGAATACTCTGATGAGGACGAAGACTATCAGATAGCCGACGAAGAGGTGTGTTGCTCTCATGCTCTCACAATTTTTTGTAGTCTTTCTAAGTGTGCTTTGTAAAATTTTCAGGTATGCCCAACCAGCCTCCCGAGTGAAGTTAAGAGAACTGGTAGATGATGACAAAGTTTTTTGTTTCATTCATAGATAATCAATTTCTTACATTTGGAACCAAAGGAACAGCTACTAACAGTTCTCTTCATGACTAGAAGCATTTGAAGAAGAACCTGCTGATCAAATCGATTTGTCCTGTTTCTCGGGTAATCTTCGACGTGATGACCGTGATAATAGTCGTGACTGCTGGAGATTATCTGATGGGAACAACTTTAGAGTCCGTAGCAAGCATTTTTGTTATGACAAGTCAAAGGTTCCTCGTACTTCTGTTAGCTTTCGATGTTTTTTGGAGCAATTTGTTGCACTTAATCTAATAATTTCATTATTGGAATATCTATTTGAAGATCCCTGCAGGAAAGCATCTCATGGATCTTGTTGCTGTTGATTGGTTCAAAGACACAAAGCGAATGGACCATGTTGCTAGGCGCCGTGGTTGTGCGGCTCAAGTAAGTACAGTAAGCTATAGCTTCATTTCTTTTCCTTTTTTGTTCTTTTCCGTTAGCAGTCCATCAAAGCTTAATCAGTCTCTTTAAGACTTAGACGTGTCTATGAACCTTCAAAAAAATTCCATGGTCTGATAAGTTGATGGTGTTGGATGAACATTGCTATTGGTCGATGCATACCTTCCCTCATTCTGTGAGATGATGCCTAATTGTACTTCATTTGTCAAACATCTGGACAATGAAAGGAATTTTTGTGAGCACCAACCTTCAAACCCTATCAGTTGCACCTGGAGACATGCATGTGCGCGTCATGGTAGGACCTTTGTGTTTGGTTGGATATTAATGGGTAGCTTCTAGATTTGGACGTAATGAATTGCAATGTTACCATGGTACAATTTTGCCTTCTGTTTCAGTCGCAACTGACAAAATGTTCCTTTTTGGTTCTATGCAAAACACAACAAAAGGATATTCTGAAGGAGTAACTTTTGTCCGAAACTTTCTGAAAAAATATTCATCTGAAACTCAGAAAGTTTTGTACATTTCAAATGAAATCTGCTAACACATGTCCTTGCATGTTGGTGGAAAAGTTTCAGATGACCATTCAGCAAACCATACTTCTTGTAGGGCCCATCAACAGTACTTTTTTTTTTTTGGGGCATTTCTTGGTCCTTGTTTATAGTAAATATAAGATGCTTCGGACTGAAAGAACTAACAACTTTTTTTTTTTTTACTCTCTTTTTCATGAATTTAGCAAATCAGCAATCATTGTTATATATTTGGTTTCAGGAAAGAGGTTACATGCACTATTCCATCTTATAAGTATGATGTCAGCAAGTTAAGATGCAACTGTAGCAATATGAGTTCATCTCAATTCCAGGAATTACAAATTGACAATTGTCTTATGTAATGGTAGTCTTTTATTTGATGAAAACGGCAAAGGTAATTGACTGCAATGTTTTTCGGCCATTGGGTGGGGGCAACTGGAGGAAGATAGCACGTGGCAAAGGGCAGAGCTTCCAGTGACTTGTTAGGGCTGTCAAAGAGCAAAGAAGAAAGTCACTCGAAGCTCCTCTGTTGTGACCTAGCTGAGCGGTCCTCGCCAGCACAAGCAAGCAGATTTTAGCTCCCTCACTCTCTTATTGTGCCGGCAGGCCTGGGCGAGCGAGGTAGGGTTAAATTAAAGGGAGAGGGACGGCGAACATCTGTCCCATGAACCGCCAGGGAAGCATATTAAAAGCTGAACACTACAACAAATCAAAAACCAACAGGTTATGTAGTTGTTCCTGGAGTACGTCATGGTTCACAGTATCGGCTCATATCGATACCACTTAGCTGAGTTGCATCCACTCGGCACCTTCCGATCCAGGTTTCATGTAAATTATGAGTCTCATATGGTTGGCTCGAGTCATTCAAGACATATTCAATTCAGCCTAATCTTCTCCGTCATCATCACCAAATCGGTTGATACCGTTCTATGACGTCACAATATAGCCCGACTCTTTGTTAAACTTCTTCTTTTATGTATCATCTTCGTGTTTGTCACCCAATAACGTTCCACGACACCGCGACCTTAAATTATGGACTACAGAAACAATTTCATGAGAATGATTACAAGGAACAATCCAATAACCAGTGGTTTGCATTGATTTCTGCCTGGCGTTAATTTTCATCCATATTCTCGTGAATCTAGTTTCCATTTAGATTGATGGAAGAAACAGGTGATGTAAGATGATGTTACTGTTCTATTTGAATTCTGAACATTTGATGATTTGACTGGAATCTGCTTCGAGAAAAGGCCTAGTTAGGCAGGGTTTTCTTTTGTCGTTCTTCTGACCGTAAAAAGATTAAAGCAATATATTGCATACATAATTAAGGTGGAATGCATAGTTCACATTTGAGAGCAATAGTATCGGTAACTGATGATCTAATATGGAAATATGATTGTTAAGAAAATAAAAGAAAACTCGAGTAAAGATAAAAGCAAATTGTTCCGATGTTTTCAAATCGTTTCTACGAGTTTATAATGTGTCGATCATGTTTGCGAAATGTTTCTTTCTTTTTGACACAAAAACATGTGCCTAAATGAAACTTGGAACCTTGGATGTTATTCTGCAAGGTTTTACCACCCAAGTTTTCATACCTACTTGGTTTTTTTGGTTTAGTCTCTGCTGTTTGGTTATTTTTTATTTGATTCAAATTCTATAGCTTTTGAAAAGGCTGATCGGTTCTATGGAATCTGCTCCTGGTCAATTGTGTATCAACCAGTTATCTTCCTGATTAATTGCATGTTTTCAATAAGTATTGCCTCTCCATCCCATTTGTGGTAATGGATTAGACATTTATTGGCAGGGTTTAATTTGTTCCACTTAGTGTTGTTGATCGTTGAGATCAAACGGTTCCTTCAAATATTTTCTGAATTGTAAATACACATCGAGTCTTTTCATGTGAGTAACTTGTCAGTGCTTTATTATGTTGTGATTTTTTTGAGCCGCCTTTATAATTTTTGTATAGATTGCTTCAGAAAAAGGACTTTTCTCCGTGGTGATAAATGTGCAAGTAAGTTGTTTCTGTTACTGATTTTAATTCTGAACTCGATGCATGTGGAGACTACAAGAGAAATAATTATGTATTTTCAAAGGTACCTGCATCGACACACTACAGCATGGTTTTCTATTTTGTGACAACGGAATTAGCACCTGGTTCTCTGTTGCAACGGTTTGTCGATGGGGATGATGAGTTTCGTAATAGTAGGCTGAAGCTCATTCCATCAGTTCCCAAGGTATCAGTCTCATTTCTTTTTTCCTAATTTGTGGGAAAATGCTCAGTTTTTTTTTTTTTGTCCCCTCAGGCCTTGGAGTTGGAAGTACTTGCCACTTCCAAGTTGCATTAGTGTGGTTCAGTAACTCATTGTTGATGAAGTTTATGCTATCACCTTTCTTTCATAGCTTTAATGCGCATTCAAACACAGCACACTTTATGTTAGAATTTAGGTTCTTCTCTTCAAATGATGTTGAACTATGTTAGAACCGAGGAGTTCTTAGCAGGAACTTGAGATTTTTACCGTCAACGTCTACCATCTAAAATATGAAGCCATTTTATATGAAGCTACCATGACAGGCAATAAATTGACCTAGTACTTTTTTTGTCACACATCTTAATATATGGGACAGATATTCGGGATCCATTTTCTTTTGTTTTTTGGTTTCTATAAAATTATTGATTTTGTTAAAAAGGAGGTGATTTTTGCAGTCATTGTTGCGACTGTTGACCTTGTAAAGAGGTTCTGTAATATTAACTTTCATTTTTCACTCATGGAAATGTTAGTTTTGGATGTATAAGACTTATCAGATCGAGTTTGTAGCGTCTTTAATTATCTTGGGCGCTGATCATATTTACTAGCAGCAGCAAATACAAATAATTTTAGTACCTCTTGTTAGGCTTCGAAAATTTTGTATCATCTCCAAGGATGAAAAATTGTGCTTCTGCTTTTAAATAGGAAACCCCCTTTTTCCTCCCCTGGTTCATATGATCATATTAGTTCTACTCTCTGTTTTCCACACACTTCACTTCCTTTGACTCTATAATCTTGTGCATTGCTTTTGACTTTCCACTCATCTTGTAGGGCTCATGGATTGTGCGCCAGAGTGTCGGAAGCACCCCTTGTTTATTGGGAAAAGCTGTTGATTGCAACTATATCCGTGGTGCGAAGTACCTAGAAGTAAAACCCTCAACTCTTGTCAAAGCGGATACACATGCACACAAAAACACACACGCACACAGAGACTTGAAGCAGCCATATGGATGTGTTACCGAACAATCTAATTTGAGTTGATGGCGCTCATTCTCTTTGCAGATTGATGTTGACATTGGTTCTTCTACCGTGGCTAATGGAGTTTTGGGGCTTGTAATTGGTGTAATTACTTCTCTAGTAGTTGACATGGCATTTCTTGTACAGGTATGTTGTAACTTATTGTGCTATGTCCATCTGATAAAGCTGTTTGTCTAGTCTACCTTTTGTCCTTTTAGGTAGACCTCTTCGTTGACCTCTTGTATTTTTAAGTATTATTACACCTGGCGGAGTATTTAACCATCTCAAAACGAAAAAACCATTTAATCTGCCAAGGGTATTGAATTTTATTGTGGACAATCTCGCAGTCTTTTAACGAGCTGTCCCCTTCATTATTCTCTTACTGCCAACTAGTGTTGTGCATCAGACTAGCGTCTTATCCCAAAATTTTGATTATATTTGAGAATTCTGCCCGTCTAATTTTCTTAAGACTTTGTCAAATACTGGAGTGTGATTTTCTTATATTTATTTTGCTAATCAATCATGTTGGGTCTTTGACTTCGGTTTTCCTCATTGACACCCATCAAGTGCTGGCTACCCTTCCAAGTTTGAGTTTTCTTGGTTAAGGTATTAGATGGAGAATTTTGAATGAACCGCTAGTATGCTTGATATATCCCATTTGTGAAAATACATAAAAAGCAATGATACACATATTCAAGGGGTTTTATCCAAGATGTTGATAGATGAGCTTTGAAGAAGTATACGGGGGGGTGTATGTGGGTGGGTTTTTTTTTTTTTTTTTGGGGGTGGAGATCAAAAAAATGCGAGACTGTGTCCCCATAGATGGCTTCCTAGTCAAAATAGAGAAGGACAGTTATCATCTGAGGAACCGAATCTGACACCAACCTTCCAGGTCCCTTTACTAGGTTGGGGAGGCATCACCAGGGCCAATGATACAACCCCATTTTTTACCCATATTATACAGGACCAGAGAATCTGCATGACGTTATCTTGGGCTAAGAAATGAATTGCTTTGTGTTTTGTTTATCAGGCAAACACGACAGATGAGTTGCCGGAGCGATTGATAGGCGCCGTCCGTGTTTCTCATATAGAGCTGTCATCTGCTATAGTCCCAAAGCTGGACCCAGAGTTATTAGAGTGAGTTGCAGCATAAATTTCGTTAATCATATAAACGGCTATTTGCTCACATGTGTTTGTGTTACGTTCATTCTTAGTTCTCATTCATTTTACTTGCATACTGTAAAGAAGTCGTCAATGTTTTAATCAATTTTTTTTTTTGCATTAGAAAATCGTCGATGGCATTTTTTTTGTGTGTAACGTACCGGTTCGACGATTAGCAAGATGCTGTTTTCCTTCTTCTTTTAAAATCCTGCATGAATGAAAATAACAGCAGACTGAAGGGGAATTATGCTCGTGTTTATGACTGAATCGGATTGGAAAAATTGGGTAGAGAAAGGTTTGAGACGTTGACGCTCAGGAGCGGAGCAACGCTTTTTTTGTAGTGGAGCCAACCTAAAACTCGGTAAAAAATACATAATTAACAATATTTTTATATGTATAATTTCATTTTTCATTCCGCAAATCAGATAGAGACGAGATCTAATTTTTAAAAATCAGTCATTTCACCTAATTTTCAAATAGGTTATTATGTGAATGGTCATATTTAAATTCAAATTCAAATAATGAAATTTTTATTTTCTATAATAGGGGAAAAGAAGAAGATAGCAATAATAGAAATCAAAATAAATGCATCTAAAAAATAAAATAAAAAAACACAACATTTAGCAAAACTAAAACATTATTTATGTGTCATCGCTCATCCAATAGAACCTTTTAGGGTTTTCTTTCTTTTAAAATTATCCACCTTATTGAGAGGAGATAATTTTATCTCTCCTTTTTTGAAAAATAATAATTTTATTTCTATTTTTTAAACGAAAGAATTTTTTCTCTCTAGTCTCAAACATATTAGTGGGGACACATGGGCCCACAACCTGCAAGTGGAGTGACAGACATGATTTTCTCACTCTTTTATGAAAGAAACCTCTACATTGTTAAATTCACAAAGTTAGAGTATTGCTGTGGGGAACTTCTGCATGGAAAGCCACATTGGCTCGGGTTTTTTTTCCTTGCAAACTTCTGAAAAGTAAGCATCCCTTGAGGATGTCTTCACCCAATCCCTTAGAGCATCTCCAACGGGCTCAGCAAAAGGACCTTTTTAGCTATTTTGCTGAATCGGTCCAAAAAATTTGGCTTCAACTGGCTCAACAAATCCATCGCTACTCTGCCTCCTCCCCTTCTCGCTCATTAGTTGTAGCTAACACCAATCTCTCTCATCAGAGCTCTCTCCCCAAATTTTGGTTGTCCTTCATCACATCTCCCTTCACTGTGTTCGCCGTCATCGACCACAACAGGCGCCGTCGCAATTCCGACAACTTCAAGGTAAGTCGTTCTCTCTTCTCCTCCTATTTGCTTCTTTTTCTTTTTTGTTTCTGATTAAGACCCACCACAACCTTTGATATGATCTTGTTTCATGAGATTGAAGAAAGAATTACATACCGTATGCTTTTAATGAAAGATCAACAACCTCTTTCCTTTCATTTCCCATCTTGAACTCGGCAAGATAGTGATAATAATCCCTTGTTAAAATCAACGAAAATTTCAACCCAAAAACACAAAAAAAATGAAAGAACAATTAGATTTGAACAGAGATGGTGGATGCGATCAAAATATGTCGTATGAACTTCTAATTGTGAGTCGGTTTGTTGAGAAAACCAATAAAAAGTAAAGAAAATTTAGATTTTTAGTTTTCTGATTAATTATTATAGACCTAGTTTCAGGGGTGGTTAGAATACAAGAAGATATTAAGTTCAATGTCTTCCAATTTTCAAGTTTTTTGCATAAAGACTAACATAAAAACCTTAAACCTAAGCTAAAGTTTTGAGAAAGTTAGTTGAATACCAAAAATTTGCTTGTTGATACAAGAAGATAACGCCTCAATTTGCTTACTGATAAAAAGATGAAGGTAATGAATACCGAAAATCTCTTAGTAATGAATACCGAAAATTCTTGGAATTACATTCTTGGAAAATTCTTAGAATTACAAGAAAATTTTCAATAACAGAACTACATTAGTAAGGAATTACACATAACTCAGCTCACTCCTATATGGAAATGTCTTAGGCTCTTAGCCATATGATTTTTGTTGAATGCATTTGCAAAAAGCAGGAAATGTCTGGTCTTGTATAGCAGGCTGTTATAGCTAGAAATTACATTTTCAATTATTCTCATTAATAATGTTGGAATGTTGTTTTTGGGTTGATCTTGACTAGTTCATCTGGAATGCTAGAATTATTCTCATTGATCGGTTCATCTCTCTGATGCTTTGTTTGTTTAGGCTCCCAAATGCTCTTGCAGCATGATTGTTATTAGTCATCTGCTGCAACTCCATAAGCAAGCATTCTTATAGCGGCAGTTATCTTTTGAAGGGAAGACAAGCCAATATTCCTAACAACATCCTTTTTTTGGATAAAATATGGATCATAAGCTTTCACCATGGATAAAATACGAACAAAAAGAGATCGATTTATTCGAAACCTCCTTCAAAATAAATTTGGGGGATGAGTAGGCGATTCTGCAAAATAATCGCGTTAAAGTCTCTCATGCCCTTTAACTCGATTGCGAAAAATAACAGAGACCTTGAATAAAATCACGACGTATTGCAGAGTTGTTTTCAGTATTGAGTTCTTCCGTTGCCATAGCAGCACCCGCTAACATCTCCAAGTTATCATCGGAGTCAGAATCATTAAACATCATCATCAAATTACCATTATAAGCCATAACAAAGAAATATGAGTTCAATACTAATAAAATAAATTTGAGATGTATGACAATGAGAAAGGGGAGATCTTATTTATACATTTTCAAAAATATGACCGTTGAAAATATGATCGTTGTAAATATTACCGTTTTAAATATGGCCGTTGTAAATATGACCATTATAAAATTTAAAATTTGATTACGTGGCACGACACGACATCATTATGCCGCTGACGTGTTATGTCATGTGACATTTTTGAATTATATTATTGAAAGTTAGTTAAAGTTAGTTGAAATAGTTAATTAAAATAGAGAACGTGATTGAAATGAATTTTAAAAAGTGAATAGTTAAAGTAGTGAATATAATATTTAAATATATTTTGAATATCTATTTTATTGAGCGGGGTTGAAGATGTTCTTAGTAAGAGTGTGTCCTCAAATGTATGGAAAGCAACACTATTTTTTTTTTTACAGGATGCAACGAAAAAACTTCTCGGGAATCACATATCTTAGTATTATTCTACCCCAATCACTTATAAAAGTTATGTTGTATGAGAATGTCTGGCCGTCAAAGTTTTCATCCAAAGTTTGGTGTTGATTGAATCACTAGAGAGTTTCAGTTTACAAAGTGGCCCGGCCAAATGGCCCTACAATAGCCCTTGACTAAATTAAAGTCGGATTCCAATTAGGTGGATACCTACTCATTTATTTATCATATATATTACTCTATGCTTTTAAAACTCGTATGTATAATATATGGAAAAAAATATATATATTATTTATAATATCTAAATTTTTAAAACTTCAAATTTTCACTTCGGGCAATTTATTTCAAAGTTTTAAATTTAATGGTCTAAAAATATAACATTTTTTTGAAGGAATGTTGGACAGGCTCTTGGGCCGAGTTTTAATGAGTTTTTACGGGCAGGCTATTGAGCCGAGTAATGGATTTGAGGACAAACTCAAATCTTTTTTTTAAGGATAGGGAGCTTAAGGAGGCCGGTACCTCTCTAAAAACTTAATTGATAAAAGTATAATTTTTAAAATTATTGGGATTAGGGTTGTTCACTCTACCCTACGGGTAGGAAATATAGTATTCCGTCTTTTTACCTGATATTTTTGCAGAAGAATTTTTTTCTTAGCCTACCCTACCTGATCAGGTGTGACATTCCTACCAGAATAATCGGGTAAGAAATCGGATAAATACTTTTGTAACTATTAATTTTTGAATTATTTTAACAATTTAATTAAATAACATGCATCAATTTAACAACACAATAAATTAATAACACTAAAACCTAAAACAACTACAACAACAATTACAATAAAACATAAGAAAACATGAACATCAATCTATCATAATTGTTGCACAAATACAATAACAATTATTTTAAATTTAAATCATATGAAACACATTAAAATCATAACTGCTCTAATAAATCATCAGTTCACCACAATTTAAACCATATTTTTTGCAGGTAGGGTAGGGTATGAATGGGGAAATTGATGGGTATTTTGCATTCCTACCCGATTTAATCGAAAGATAAAAAACTATTCCGTATTCCTACTCAATTTTTGCGGCTAGTAGTTCAATAGGGTATGGTAAGGTCTGATAGGGTAGAAAATTACGGTCAATCGAAAATTTGAACACTCCTAATTGAGATAGAAATACATCTATTAAAAGAATGTCATAAATGCCCTTTTATCCCTATCATAAATAATTCATATCTAATTGAATGTAAGATTTTTAAGATTAAAATGTGAGAATTTCAAGATTCTTTTTAATATTTGTGTATCATTTAAATTTTAAAATTTATATATATATATATAATTTTTTTGAAATTTTTAATTCAAACATAAGATTTAAAGATCCTTTAAAATATTTTTTTCAAATTCATTTTATCAGACCCCTATACCCATTATCAAAGAGTCTCTTCAAGCCGAGAGAAGGCAATCTCTTTCTCTCCGTCCTATTACCTCTCGTCTCTATCGTCCTCCGTCCTTTGTCCTTCACACTTTTAGCTTGATCCCCTGTCTGACAGTAACTTGTATGGACCCGTTTAATTTTCCACCTAACATTTTTAGTTCAATTTTTTATGTGTAATATTATAATGATTAAATTTAAAATTCAAATGACATGACAGTTAATTTAAATTTTTTTTATTTGGTATCATGTCATTTGGAGCTCAATAAAAACTCAAATAGTCAGCTGTCATGTCATTTAGACTTTAAATTTAATCACAAAATTTGATCAATATAACATTAACCGAAAAGTCGAAAGTTTCGGTACCAACCCAACCCTCCGGTTGACCAATAACCTTGTTATGTGTTTCCATGTTAAATAAGCATTTGACTTTGGATGTTCCAATGTTGGTAAAGATGAAGAAATATTGGTGGCAGCAAGTTGTAAGATAGAGAAATATGGCTTGTGGCAACACCTACCACACGGAAAAAACAGCAAACATCATTAAAAACACGGATGACCTAAATTAGATTTTGTAACAAAATGAAGAATGATTATGCGGGGGTTAACTTTTTTATTGTATTTATATCTATATTATTAATAAAAATGACTTAAGTGAAAATT